AAGAACCCGACGGGAGGGGGACAAGACAGCAGTCAGCTTAGTGCTGTTAAGTAGCTTTCCATGTCTCGACTCCATTTACTGTCCAATTCTCTTGGCTGGCCACATTTTGTGCTGTGCATGTGGCAAATAATTCGACAGTTTTGGCTGGGCGTTACGTCAAGGACGGCCATTCATCTGTTGTCTGTCGGATATGAATGTACATGCATACATACATACATAAAGTATTAAGTAATTGGTAATCTGTTGAACTCGTTTATTAATTCACCTCTCTCTTTCTCCCTCTCTCTCTGTCTCTGTTTTTATTTCTCGGCTTATAGTTTTGATGACAGCCTCTCGTCTTCGCGACGCCGCAAGGAGCGTTCGAAGCGCTCGCATCGTAAATCGCCTGCAACTGGGCGTCGGCAGCACAAGTACCGTTACAGGGATGAGGCCTCACACTCGAGCTCACGGCGCCGTCATCGCGATCGGCCCAAGGATGAGCGCGACAGCGGGCGCAACAATCGCCAATCGCAAGCTAAGGTAAAAACTTTTCATTTTCTAAATATACCTCAATCAAAATGAAACGAACGATTTACGCATCAACAATAATGAAATTATCACACACGAAATCAATACAAAACAAAAAAAAAAAAAAGAAAAACAATTATGGTAAAAGGAAAATTAGCCAATTTTCATAAGCATAAAAGCTTGTCAATTTGCTGGCTAAACTATTATACTATATAAGTGAAATCGATCAAGTTTTCTTAGTATACACAATATCTATGTATTTCTTTAGCATCTGGCATAAGCTCAATGCTTGCCAATTTTTGTGTTTTTTTTTTTTTTTTGTGTGTCGCGCTTTTCAATCAGTTATCAAATCACTGCCCCGACGTGATGCTGTTTTTCAAGCGCTATTTGGAAAAGTCCCAACTGACTGCCCAAGAGTTTGAGAACTCCCAAATTCCGTGCTATATTAAAATGCGTCAGTTGCCGGCACCACGACGCATAGATCATTATCGCGATCTGTTGCTGGAGTGTTCATCGCTACGCTTTACGCCGTACACGGAGGAGGATTGGATTGTGGTCGAGTATTTTGCCGATCACGATAGCGACTATCTTGTAAGCAGTCACTAATCATCAAATCTATTTCACCACCTGCCCAAAAGCGATCTGTTTCAATGTCTCGTGATTGTATTGCACTCACCTGTACCTTGTGACGTTTGTTTCTATTTAGTCTGCTTCTTTTTAGTGCCTTTTCTATTTTGACTTTTAATCATAGGTAAAACACAAATATAGATGTACTTGTACTTGTACACTATATTCTAGTTGATGCTCTCTGAGAGCCATTGCACTCACGCATCACTTGAGGCTTATCATTTGCTTCGCTGTGCTTATTTTGTGATTAAATTGTAATCAGAAATGGGAAAGTGAATGGCTAAATATAATCAATTTGAACTTTCTTTGTGGATCCACTTCCAACTTGTTGCTGCAACTAAATTGAAACTCTTTTGCTGGGGTGACTAATGATATGAAATTGTTTTCTGTATGTATTACAAACTTAATCTACTCGTCAACAAATGTATCTGTGTTTAATTTTATTAAACACAACAATTTCGAGTAGTTCAAGGTGCTGATAACTCTTTTAATATTGAGAGCATGTGATAAGAAGCTCAAATAAACTATCAAGTTTCAAACGTCAAATAGGGCGCTCAAATAATACATGTATCTGAACCTCAACATCTATAGTGTTCGCAGAGTTAAGATTCGTTTATTTTGTCGGTTCCCCATGGTGTTGCCTGATACAGATAATCTGCAGAATTAATTGCGCTGCCCTCGGTATGCCGCTGCTGTCCTCGTTTTTTTTATATGTTCAATTGATCATTTGACATTAACATGTTGACTCACGACGGGCGGCAGTCAGTGGCCATTGTGAAGGCAATTGAGTGGTTCGAGCACACACAATTTTCGACTGTCGCGTAGAGAAGCGCGCTCGTCAAGATTCAGTACTTTCGGCAATTGGAGCAGCAGCAGTTCAAGCGGCATGCGCAAGAGACGGCGCCAACTTCAAGTGACAACAACCACAATGAGCAGAACTGGAACGGAGGCGAGGAGTTCGAGGATGATGGCGATAAGGCGCAGGTCACCCCTTGCTTGCTATTAAAGCGGCAACGTAATCTATTCGATTTGGTTGCACTGTGCGATATGCCCGTCAATCGTTACGCCGGCGACAATTGGATTGTCGAGGAGTACTTTGTCGATCATGACGATGACTATCTAGTGAGTGTGCAAATGAGAGCGACTCTCTCTACCTCTCTCTCTCTCAGTCTCTCGCTCCCTTTAAATGGTTTGCATGATGCCTGCCCTACACATACCGCCTCCCCATCACACACACTAACTCTCTCCCAGTCCACCTCAGTCTCTCGCTCTCTCTCTCGCTCTGTTTAGAGAGATGTTCAGTGTTTTGCGCCTGTCCGTCGACAGCTGATCGCATTGCGCGCGCAGCTGCTCCACCTAGCGCCTCTGTTTGCCATTTGCTCAGCAAGCGCTTTTCGCCGTCGCCATTGGGGAAAATTAAAAATACCACAGATGAAAAATCTACTTCTCGCTCGGGATGATTTTTTCTTTTCTTCTTTTTTGTCGGTTGAGCATTTTCCAAATCTGAAACTGAAACAGAAACAGATTCAAATCTTCGTTTGTCGGTTGTGTATCGTTGCCCATCGCCCGTCGGTTCGTTGTGGCCTTTAGCTAACGTGTAACGGTACGTGTTCTACACGCGTCTCCTCCTCTCTTTCGCTCTCTCTTTCTTTCTCTCTCTCTCTCCTTTTCATTTCTCTGCTACTATCTCTCTCTGGCTCACTAACTGTTGCTACTGCTGTCGCGAATTTGTTTATAATTTCATGTGTGTTCCGTGTGTGCTGTGTGCTGTGCATGTGTGTGTTTAGTATAGGGAAAATCGTCGAAATACAAATGTAGCGATTACTTCACATGAATAATGTCGAATGAAAACGCATTTGGCTTTGACCAAAACCAAAAGATAAATGCATAGAAAATACATTTAAAACTAAAAAACATTAAAAAACCTAAATCAACTGTTAAGCATTAGGTGTGACATAATCAGACCATCCAACAAATTAAAAAAAAATAACAACGAAAATTTAAGTGCTTTAAAAATAAAATCGAACCAGCAAGCACAGGCGACAACAACGTAAACTACAAAAGTGCCGCAAACAAGTACTGCACAATACTTGTGCAAATTCACAACATTGTCTCCACCAAACGATGCAAAAATTTCGAAATTGTATTTTAATGTTCGCAGCGCGCAGCCAAATAAAAAATAAAATCAGGTGTATAAAAACTTAATTTGGAGCCTGAACTTTGCACTTTTTCGTGTAGATAGATTTGGCCGCAAGAAAGATACAAACACATTTATGTTCGATAGCCAGCAATTGGGCAGATGGGAAAAAGAGGAAGAGCAACAGTCAACGCACACAGCGGCCAAGCAAATCAAAACAAAAACTGAAAACTGAAAACTAACAAACAGCGTCAGCAACATACAAGAACAACACCAACACAAACAACAAGAACAACAACAACTTATGACTTACACAAATGGAAGCACCACACACGCGTTAAATATATATACTAAATATATACATATGTATATGTGGTTGTATATGTGCATCAGAGATCACCAGGGATTATTCATCAGACAGAAGCAGCAGCAGCAACAACAACAGCTAGCGGGTAGTTCCATCGTTGTGATCTTTGATGCTGCCTCTTCTTCTCGCTGAACAATTTTCTTTAGTTATTTTTGTAATGTTTGGATTTATTTTTGGTACGCGCGTTTATTTCCACAAAAACCGCAAAAAGTCAAGCACATATTGCCCATATAAGAAATGAGACAGCTATAGGGAGGAGGTAACGTTTTTTTTCTTTCTTGTTTTTCGATTTTGACAACGTAATGTGTGTGTGTCGGTGTGTGTGTAATGTTTAGATTTGACAAGCAAAAATCTGCAAAACGTGCTACAGTAAAATCTTTCTAAAAACATGAAAATTTCAAATCAGAAAAACCTACAATTTATAAAATTCAATTTAAAATATTTGTTTTTTATTTTTGGAAAAGTTTAAAAGAAATATGAAAAAAAAAACGCCATTATATTTTATGCACAGAAATGATGAAATGAGTTAAACTTTCAAATAAATCTTAGATATAATTATTTGTTTATTGCGGCAGGTTTCACTGTACAGCGAACACACACATGTACACGTGTCTATATATTTACATATGTAGCACGTAGAATACACGACTACTGCGCCAATTTACGTGCGTTGTCGTCTTTTTCATTTTTTTTTTTTTGTTAAAAATAAAAACAGATTTTGTACCGAACTGAGAGCACACTCTTGGCAGGCGAACAGGCCAGGCAGACAGGCAACTAGCAAAATAAACTATATATATATATATATATATATATATATATATATATATATGTATGCCAAACATGTATGTATGTATGTATATGCAAACATACATATAGAAATCATGTACTTCCCATATATATGTACATAGATATATCACAGGCAGGGCCGTCACTCAATTGGACATATACATACTACATGCAGAGTCGCCCAATCGCCCTGTTATCTCTCCAGCGTTCTCTCCTACGCTCATCCCATATATAGGGCAAGGTGTAGGCTTCGTGTGGTGGTGGGAGCATTGTCGGGTGCTGCAGGCATGTTAACCAGGAATTGGCGGGAGGTTGATCTGCTTCTAGGGGGGAAATGGCGCCCGGATCAATGAGCTCATTGCTGTTTACGATATGTGATTTGTTTTCTGTATGTCGAGTGCTCAATATGCCACACGATTTCAGGTATATGCATCGCTTACATATAATTTATGTGTACATACATACAGACATACATATATCTGCTTGTACTTGTAGCGCGATGGGCGCCATTGACATGGGAGGAAAAGTGTTTTTTTTTATTAGTTTGTTTTCCTTTTGGCTTTTTGTTGTTGGCAAGTCGCTGATCAATTAATAAGCCACATCGAAACAAAACGACAAATAGCATTTGCCAAAATGCCAATGAGGTATTGACATTGAGAGTCACTTCCTCCCTAACCACCGAATCACGGATCTATCGTATCGACGATCTTCGATCTTAACAGGGCTATCTATCGAGCAGGTTTCTTTATTGCAAACGCCAGCAGCTTCGCGAGTCGCGTCGAGCAAGTCGAACCCAACGCAATTAACATTTGAATATTATATTCGCCAGTGAAAAGTTAGATAACAGATTCACACCGATACCCTACCAGTCCGTCCATAAACCCAACACAAATATATCGCGTATTCTGCAATCGACCGCGATGTCCGACGAACTAAGCGAACTGATCGCACTCAGCTGCCCGGATCTCACTGCTCGACCCGAGGGCACTCTCGATATCCAGCGTCGCCTCAGCATCAAACAAATGACAGCCACGGAGCTAACCAATCTGCGTGCTGCAGCAGCTGCCGAGGCTGAGGCCGAGGCGCAGGCTCGAATCCAAGCCGAGGCCAAGGCGCGTGCTCTGGCCGAGGCGCGGGCCCGAGTGACCGCCGAGATTGAGGCCGCCAAGGCGCGTGCTCTGGCCGAGCAGCAGGCTCGCGTGGCCGCCGAAGTTGTGGCCAGAGCATGCGAACTTGCCGAATACGAAGCCCAGGAGCAGCTGCAGCGCATCGCGGAGCAACAGCGTAATTTGCAGGAGGAGCAACAAAGAAAAAAAGAGGTAACGCGTGATCCTCCCATTTCGCTGCCCAACATTCTGGACGATGCCATGGAAATGCATTTGCTAAACGCTAGCGAATGCAATCCCTCCGTCTCTGGCCAATGCACGTCGCCCCCCAAAACCAAGACCAAAGCGCAACTGGCCGACTCCATTGAGTTGCTGCGCATGCAGCGGGCAGCTCGAGACGCCCGGTCCCAGCATTGCAGTCGGGAGCGCAGCATATCGCCAGCGGCGCGACATCATGAGAGAAGCGCTGCACCTGAACGCCTGCGCAGCTCCAGCATTAGCAGCATTGATTCTGCCCGTGCCAGTGGAAGTGGAAGTGTCAGCGTTAGCGTTAGTCGTCGTGGCAGCACCGCCAGCGCCATGAGCAGTGATCCCGCAGCGGATCTGACAGCACTACCCAAGTTTCCGCTGTCGAAGACGGTGTCCGCTCCGGTCATAAACACTCGTCGCAGCAGTCTAACAGCACTATTTCCGGGTCCATCGCCGCTTGTGGCTCCGGAGCCAACGCTGCACACCAATCCAGATATGGCGCCAGTAGCGGACACACCAAGGCCGGGCAGTCACGAGGATGGATATCGTGATATACCCAGTGGTAAAATGCTGCATCGCACAAAGACCCCACCGCCAGTTGGTGCCAGTTTGGGCGTGTGCCTCAAACGGGTCGCGGCGCCCAGCGGCTCGATCACCATCAAGCCCAAGGAGCCGAATATGCTGGGCGTGGTGTTGCGCCGGGTCGAAAAGAAGACAGTGCCATACAAGAGCATTCTGGATGATGACAAACCATTATATCATCTGTCCATTGTGCGCAGCGATCACAAGGAATACAAGCCAGCGCCAAAGCCGATACCGAAGCCCGCACCGCCGGTGGTTAAGCCGTCGCCGGGCGGCATCCTAACTGGGCCGCAGGTGGGGCGTACCGTCAACCGTCCGGTTGTGTTGCCTGCTAAGCCGCAACGGCCACAAATAGGTGTGCCCATAACCATTACGAAAATCGAGGGTGATAAGATAATTATAATCAAAAAGATTATTGTGCCGAAGAACAGTAAGATACCGGAACAGTATCTGCAGGTTGGTTGTCTGTATGGTGTACGGTGTACGGTGTCTCTGGTGTCTGGTGAATCTGTTGTCCAGTTCTTCGTTTAGTGTCAGTGGGTGTATCCTACTCAATATATTCCCCCTCTCTCTGTGTTCTGGAATTGTTTTTGAATTTGCCTCGTTTTTGCTGCTGCATTCGATTTTATTATCGTTAAACAATCACATCAAATACAAAGAACGCACACACACACACACACATATATATATATATATATATATATATATATATATACACTTCGTATGCTGTCTGATTATTGCATTGTTTATAGAGAAGTCTGCTTTTTAATAAAAAAAAAACTCGCCTCGCAAATTCCATCTCAGCTTTATTAAACGTTTATATTGTAACGGAAATCGTTTTGTGATACGAGTTTGGCATTGTTTTTGAGCGTAACTAAAACAGGTCTTAGATTTAGAATGAGTTCTCGCGAGTAAAGTAATGGAAATTATTCGGAGTTAGGGATTTGACATTGCTTTAGGTGGAACTGTGTACTAGGACTAGTTGTTGTTGGCTTGTGGTACTAGTACACAGCTCCTGCTTTCTGCTCCGCAGTTGCGCGTGCTCCTCTCCAGTTGCTTAAATGAGTCAAGATGCTGGCAAGGCCAACGCCATCAAATCAACTCAGTCGGAGGCACCAAATGCTGTGTGCCCCGCCAGCAGCACCGCCGCAATGAGACCAAGTGAAGAATCATTCGCGTCGTCATCGTCGCCAAATATTATGCAGAAACCAACGCCGCCGCCCGCGAGCGGACAGCAGTCTTTCTTTCATGTCGTTTCGCCGCAGTTCGCGTCCGTATTCTCCTCTAGTTTGCCGGAAACGAAGTGCGCGGTTCGTTCGCCCATCTCGTCGCCGTTGGCATTGCGGAAGAATCGGCCGCTGTTGCCGGCAAGTCCCAAGTCGACACCGCCGCTGCCACGCAAACATCATCCGATGGCGTACAATGCGGCCACAGGCGCCATCACAACGCCATCGCGTACAATGGCCACCATTGCGAGCAGTCCCGCCTCGAGTATATCGCTGTCGTCCTGCAGTACGCCATCCTCGTCACCGCCGCCGCCAGTGCCATGTCGCGCACCCAAGCAGAAGCCAAACTCCAACGCTAAGATTCCCGGTGAGATCAATCTGGATAAGCTGCTGCAGCAGCAGCAACAATTGGAGGAGAAATCGGCAGCGGCCACCAGCAGTGCTAAGCAGGATGCTAATTTCTATGATGCTGAGATCGAGATGATGAATAAGTATTTGAAGAGTTTGCCCGACTATAGTGAATTAGATCGCAAACTGCATCAGGAGTTCCAGGAATGCGAGGATCTCTATGATCGGCTTAAGCGTCAGCAGCAGCAGCAGCCATTAACCAAATCCAATTCGCATCAATCAATGCCGCTGAAGACGTCGCATCCCGCCCTGTCGAGCGCTGCCAGCACTGGCCTCTCCAAATCGTCGTCCATCAATTTTGCCAACAATCTGACATCGAATCGAGCACCTCGCCTCGCCTATCCCTCAATATTTGCCCAGCCGAGCGGCAGTGAGCTACCCAAGCTGCAGCGCAGCATATCTAGCTCCAATATGCCAATGGGCACGCCCAATTCCGGTCCGCTGCGTCCACTGGACCACCAGAAGGATAACCTGATGAGCGACTCGAATTTGTCGCTCAACAAACAGCTTATGAACGATTTCTGGAGCGAGAATCTCTGCAGCTCGCAGAAGCGCCAGACGCCAAAGCGCACCTTCTGGAACTATGAGAAGATCTGCGGTGCACAGCTGGGCGATGCTGGACAGCCCTTCAAGGTGGACGCGAAGACGGCCAAAAAGCTGGCCATCTTTGATCCCACTGTAGCCGAGGCGGCACAGAAAGAGTTGCAGAAACAGCTGCCGCAGGCGGCACAGCAATCGCTGCCGTCGAGCCATCGCCTACAGAAGAACGCCTCGTTGTCGCATTTGGATCTCAAGGTCAGACAGGCCGTGACCAAGGATGATCTGTACAAGCTCATCGTATGCAACGAACAATCGCCCACGTCGCCATTCAGCAGTCGAGTGCCCGTCAAGCAACCACAGCAGCCACAACAGCACCAGCAACTACAGCAACAACAACAACAGCCAGTGGCAGCAAATGCCACTCAGTTGCTCAACAAAAGCGTCTCCATGACGCATGTGCCTGGAGGTGGCAGTCAGGCGGCAACGCCGCTTTTGCGCAGTTCCAGTCGCACACACATACCCTGCTACATGAAACATCTGCCATCGCTAACGCGCAGCACATCCAACTCGGCTATATTGCTGCCCACAACAACACCGACAACGGCAACAGCACCAACAGCAACGCAGCCGCCAGCCCGCAAGGAGCCACTGCCACTAAAGCAACAGCCGTCCGCTGTAAACAGTAAACCAAATGCAGGTGTACTTAAAAGCTCCAGCAGTTCCTGTGTACCATCGCCGCGATGCGCTGCCGCACTCTTTCGCCGACCCACAGAAACGACAGGCAAACAAACAGTCACTGCAGCTACAAAAGCACAAGTTCCTCCTCCACCTCAGGCCGAATCGTCCAAGGAGTGTGCCTCTTTGGAACGTAAGTCGGAGAAGAGCAACAGCACTGTGAGCAGCAGTAGCTTCACTGTAACCAATTGCTGTACCACGCATTTGCCGCAGCTGTCCAAGTTTACTTCATCCTTTCACATACCCTCAACAGTAGCGACAACTGCAACAGCAGCGTCGCAGCAGCAACAGCAACCAATTGCCAACTCGGATCAGCCAACTACAACTGCATCAACAACGACAACAGCAGCATCATCATCATCAGCAATAGCATCAGCAACAACGGCATCATCCTCATCAACGTCATCAGCAGCGACGAAGCGTCAAAAAGATGTCGACAACAAGCAAGAAAAATGTCTGAATGACATGCTAAAGCTAAAGAGCAACAACAACAGTGGAATTATGTCACAGTCGCTGACAGTTGAGCACAAAGAAGACGTTGCAGCAGCTAGCAGTAGCGGTGGCGTTAAATTTACAACCGAATCGCAAATACCCGTGCCAGTGCAGCTCTACGATCCGCAGAAGCCGCTGTTGCAGCAGCAGCAGCAGAGGATGGCATATCCAATTGGCAAGTCCAATTCTACCTCTCAGCTGCCCATGGGCTATCAGCGACTGCTGCAACAGCAGCAACAACAACAGCAACAACAACAGCAACAACAGCAGCACCATCAACGACATCAACAACAGCAACATCAGCAGCAGCAACAACAACAACAACATTATCCTCAGCAAAAGCGACCATTTTTAAATTGGAACTCGTTTGCCTGCTCGGCTATGAATGGCAGCATCGATCCCTTCCAGCAACATCCGCACAAGCTGCAGCAATCCTATTCCTCTTCGCATGTGGCCAAGCAGGCGCCGAAATCCAGCAACGGCCTGGCCATGTTCATGCAAAAGAACACCAACAAGGAAAACAAATTTGGCCAACCACTGCATCAACAGCAGCAGCAGCAGCAGTTGCCAGCTGGCATGGCACCTCAGATGTATGGCAACAGTTATCAGGCTATGATTAATACAAAGCCAACTTATCAACGCGTCGGTGGTGGTGGTGCACCGCTGACCCACTCGGCATCCTTTAGCTCCGCACAGCGGCCAAGTATAATGCAACCGCAGCAGCATAACTTTGGTCTGGGCATGATGAGTCGCAACTATTACAATCTGCCCAAGCAACAGCAGCAGCAACAACCACAGCAACATATGCAGCAGCAACCGGCACCGCATGAGCGTAAGCCACTGCAGACCTTCGATCCATATGCATACCTCAAGCCCAGCCAGAGTCAGGTGGTGCACCCGGTCAAGTACCAAGCCCAGACGCAACCACATCCGCATACGCAGTTTCACAACGCTTCCGGCGCTGGTGGTCCCGCGCTTCAATACGATCCAAATACAAATACGCAATTGTTTTATGGACCACTGCCGCCTTCATCGTCAACGGGCATGCAACCACAGGCAGCGCAACAGCAGCAACAGCAACAACAACAGCAACAGTCACTACAACAAAGCAATTCTGTCATATTCAGCCACTCAAAACAACACTTACACCAGCAACAGCAACAACAACAACAGCAGCAGCAACAACAACAAAATGAAATGTCCAAGTCCGCTTTGGGCCTGCATTTCATCGAGGTAGATTCGATGCGCAACAATATTTTTTTTTTTAATTTTTGTCATGCGTTTGTTTATTGTTTGTTTGTTGCACATGTGTCCGGAATGCTGACACGTTTTACTTACTACTGCTAACTCTAACAAGCCCATTACAAACGATTCCATCCCATGCTCGGAGGCAACTCAGCCTCTCAAAATAGACGCGCTGACTCATTGGCAATCCAAAAGGCCACCGCGCTCATTACTTTTGGCCTCTTCGCGCTCTTCTTGTTGTTAAGTAGTTGTTCATTGTGGGGGCCAAATACATAATTTGTGGAGCGCACTTCCTGTGCGAAAAATGGCCCTACTCTCACCTTCTTCTATCGCCTTGCGTTCCATTGTCGCCGCTCTCTCTCTCTATCTCTCTCGCTGTCTTACACATGTGGCCTCTCTCGTCAGACTCTTGCACTTGTCTCGACGGCGACAGCGTTGCACAATCGACTAAAGCAGAAAAAAAAAATTAATTAAAAACAAAACACCAAACCGAAATTCAATGTCAATTTTGTGGTTCGCTAAAAATAGTTTTACACTTAATTTATGTTGTTTACTTAGTGCAAACACTTAAAAACAGTTCAAATTAATTTCTTTTTAAAGTTCCACAAAAATCGTATTAAATTTAACGCCTGCTACTGATTTTTGTTTAAATATTGCCAAATTGCTATTTATAATTTAAATATGTAACTCGGCATAAAACAACACACGAAACGTTTAACAATCGGCAATTGCTTGCCTTAGAATATGTAACAACAAAAACATAAAGCATACTTATAGCGCTTCTCTGAACTGTACAGTGAAACATATATAGACAAGCCCAACGAATTCTGATTGCTCTTTCTCACTGTTGAACTTAATGGGCTTTAAGATGGGTTCTGATTTATATATTTATGGGCAATTGGTTCATTCAATTTTGAAAAATTAACATTATAATTACATAAACATAGTTTGAATATCGAATGTTTTTAAGATTCATTTATTTTTTTTACTCTGCAATGAAAGTTAAGATTATTTATAATTTCCTAAGAAGAAACTCTCCAATATTTATTATATCTAGTTGTGGTAGCTCTTTTTCAATAGAGTACCAAAATTTTTGGCATAGAGTATTTTTGAAACATATTTGAGCTATTTGACGTAGGCTTTTCTGCCTTGCTCCGTCTGCTTGTGGTTAAGTTTTTTTTTTTTTTTTTTTGCTACCTAGCAAACAATAATAGAAACAGGCCGCAAACGAAGGCGGCAACTGTGCAGCAGCAGCAGCAGCATCATCAGCAGCAGCAGCAGCAGCATCATCAGCAGCAGCAGCTGAGACTGCGGCAGCATCAACATCATCATCAGCTCTCCCGCAGTGGGTACAAGCAAGCGCCCGGTTCAGAGATCGAAACGGAGCGTGTTCTATGTTTCGCCCTGAGCACACACTCGCCAGCTACTTTGGCGCTGTCGTCGTTGCGATATTTTTCAATTTTTATAATTAGTATTTGTGGCGTGCGCTTTCGTAAATGTTGCGCTGATTTCGGATTGTTTTCTGTTTTCTTGAAAACGCAAAGACGCGCTGCTTGAACGAAAGAAAATAATAAGAATCCCAAAAATCGTCAAAATAAGAAGGAAAAAAATCGCGAATATTTCAACTGCCAGCTGGTAAATGGCTCTAAGTGCGTGTAATTCAGGAATCAAAAATTGCAATACCAAGTTGAAAAATGCATTGAAATAATCGCAAAATTGAAGCTGAAATAATAATTAAATTCGATTTGGAATCGCAATCGCAATCGAAATTGTCGCTGCTTCTGTTGTGTGTCTATTTCTGTCGAATAGCTGCCAAATATCGTACAATTTCAATTATTTTTACAACACATGAATACGCTCTTTATATGTAAATACGTATATTCTATTATACTATACTTAACTTAACTTATACAGTACAATACATTTTATTTTGCCACGACAACGACGACGAGTAAATGCCAAAAACAAAACCCCTGCCAGTAGCAGCAGCAGCAGCAAAAATCGAATATTTTAGTACATCCAATGAAATAGATCAAGTCAGAGGAGGAACTCAACTCGCCCGCTATATAAATACTACGAATCATTATCCCGATCAGTCCTTCTCGCCACTTCCACATGTTGTGCCGCTCACATGCGTCAATTAATACATACATATATGTATATAATTAGTATTATCGGATTTTCGTCATAGCGCGAAAAAAAAGAAAAAAAAACTAAAATAAAAAAAACAAGTAAAAAAAGATAACAAATCCCACGCGCAAAAAAATGGCTACATTTTTAAGTCGTTTCCATCGGGAAAAAAGCGAAAAGATTTTGCCAAAAGCTGTGAATGTTGAAAGCGGCAGCAAGAAAACAGCTGATTTAGAGACGGCGACGTCGACTGCGACGCCGACAGTAACGGCAGCAGCAGCAGCAGCAACTCAGTCGCGGCCACAGCGACGCTACATGCGCAGCGCGACGGCGGCAAGCGTTACGCAGCTGCTCTCTGAAAGCTGCAACAGTTTGCTGCAGCGCTTTCGACGCAATCCGAGCGAACGACCTGATAACAAACAGCAGCAGCAGCAACAACAACAGCAGCAGCAGCGTAATCGGTAATCGATGCAGAAGAAATGAAGCAAATGAATTACATATATACACACACACTACACACATACACGTATAAATTATTTTTAATTTTACGGTGGTTTTTTGGTCTTCTCTTCTTTAATGTTGCCGCATTTCGTCAAACAACAAAAACTCGGTCAAAATGTTGCCAGACGCGTCGCAGCTCTCATCATTTATTTTATTTTCATTTGATTTCTTTTTATTTTTGTATTTTTTTCGTTAATTTAAGTATGTAATTTGCCCCATTGCCGTTTGCCGTTAGTTGCAGCGCAGCTACGCGCTGCTTCGTTCCCCAAAACGCGTTCTACTCGTCGGCAAGGGGCCAATTATGTAAACATCGAGTCGCGTCGAACTTTATTTTCTTGGTGCAGAAGTGTGAAAATATTATTTTTTTTTTTGTATGCTGTGGAAAATTGTCAAGAGTCTTGTGTTAATTGTTCATTTGTGGTTATTACGGTCTGGACTGGAGTGTCCAGTCGAACAATAGCCAATAAAGAATGAGGAAGGCGACTGAGAGATGATTGTAAAGTTGCCATTAAGACAATCAATTCAACTGCAATCATTTACATAAGAAGAGTCAGTCAGTCTGTCATTCAACAAATGAGAGAACGATCAGTAATTCTAATTGGGTTGCTGCACACAAATTACAAGTTTCGTTTTCAATTCATTTATGTTTTCTAGGTCTTTTACCTAGCCCAATGCCAACTATCATACATACACCTCAAGTTTATATACACAATATGTACTTATTTTTGCATATAATTAATTTATGACTGTGTAATTAAAAGTTGTAATTGAAAAGTTTTTCATTAAAAATTGCAGATGATGTTAATAAAGCTTTTCAAAGAGCTTTCAAGTTTGCCAGCCCAGAGTCGGTCGAATCTCTTTTGTGTGCTTAGAATTAAATTCTTCCTTCTCAGAGTGAAAGATCGATGCCATTATTTCTCTCTCTCTCTCTCTCTTTCTCTGTGTCGCTCTCTTTAGATCTCTGTGGTTTTAGTGCATTTGCTCTGTGGTATTTATTTTTACTGCGCGGCATTCTTAAAATACATAAAACGTAATTGTTTCGCCTTTACGACTTTGTTCTTTTTGTTTTTGTTGACGAAGAGTTCAAGGCTTTTCCTCCAAGCATTTTACCGACAGACGAGCAGACTTTCGATCGTTTCCTTGTTTTATAAAATGACGGAAACGAAAAGCTCTGCGTTCTGCGCTCATTCCATGAGTTCACCAAATGCATTTTAAGGAGAAGCGATTAACAGAAGAATTCATTTTAATACACCCACTCACTCTTACCACTCTCTCTCTCTCACTTTCTCTATTTCTGTGTGTGTGTGTGTGTGTGTTCTCTTTGTCTACCTCGCACAGCTGCTTCGTCTGCTACTGGGCAAGTGCGCAATATTTTCACACTTTTTCACAAAAATAAAAACGATTCCTCAATATTTTTGTATGGCCGCGGTACAATTTTCCTATATTTTCCTATACGTCCAATGTTGTTGTGCGTCTCTGCGCATTTTCGTCGTCGCACGAATTTCGATCGAATTTTCCTCAGTTATTATTTGGTCCGTGTCGTGGCAACGCGCGTTCGTCGCGATTCAGTCGCGTGGAAAATACCAAATGCCAAAATATACACCCACAACAATCGACACAATTGAAAAGAAAGAATTAGGGAAAGCTTTAAGTGCGTCATAAGCAATTCTTTATTTTGTTTTGGGCTCTTATAGTGAAGCGGCCATAGCCGAGGATAACACCACCACCACCAGCAGCAACAGCAGCAGCAGCAAAACCAACAATAAAGATTGCAACGATATCAGACGCAGTGGCTCCAAAACCCCAACGAATGACAATAGCAACAAGACAATCAGCAAAAACAAAAGTAATCCAGCAAAACAACAAAAACGTCGTCGCAGCTCGGAAAAGACTTCCAGCGGTCGAAGACGCTCGGAAGCGGAAAAAGATAGGGACAAGGAACGTGACAAAGATAGGGAACGGGATCGGGAACGTGATCGTGAACGGGAACCGAACACAATGAGCGATCGCCACAGACGTTACTATGCTGGCGGTGGCCTAGGCTATCATCCGATCAGCACAACCACCAGCGGCAGTGGGGGGAGCAGCACCAGCGCCCTTATGGGTCGCTATCAGAAGAGCTCCACAACGGCCAATGCACTGGACAGACTGCGTACCCATCTGAGTCCCGTGGGTGGCTACTATAAATCGACGATACGCGGCTTGGGCGCCGCCGGCAATAATAGGCGTGACCTAGACGACGTTAGTATAATATGCAGTGTGGATGCCAATGGAGAGCGGCGATGCGTGTGTGTTATTTGATCGGAGCCAGCCAATTAGACCCGTGACACATTGTCCGAGAATTTTCTATGGAAAATACTTGAAATTATTGCTTAGTTTTCACCTGTCACATGAGTCACGGCAAAGTCACTGTCCCAATTCTGTCACAGCTTGAAGAAAGCAGGGAGAGAAATAGAGATCGCAGCCCCGATTGCCACATACTATATATATATATATGTATGTGTATGTGTGTGTGTGTGTACTTATGCATATATCATATATGTATAGCAGGTGTATATAGATAGCTAGTATATACCCATGGATGTATATATTTCAGTGTTGATTATGCATAGAATACACATATTTTAATATATTTGGTGCCCACACAAACTGTTTTATAGCGCTTCTATATGTTCTCTATATATCTTCCTACTTGCCGTGTGCGTTTACGCTACCGAAAAAATGTATTTTCGATTCCAACCCAAAATGTCCATGCGTCTCTCACTTCTCCTCGTGTGTCTGTCTGTCCGTCTGCCTGTCGCTTGAGTCTGTTGCTCTCTCAGCCAGTCTCTTCGGCTAATGTATAAAAAGCTATTCACAATTTCACGTATCTGCCAGTTATATATATAAACTCTGAAGGTCGGCGTGCCGTGGATTTTTGTTTAGATTTCGCTAGGCGTTCTAAATAAAATAGACTTGCCTACCCGCCCCAAGCAAGCCACTGCTGCCCGCCCACTGCTGGATGATAGACAAGACGCTCAAAATGCGAGTGAAATTATGTGAAACTAAGTAGCCCAAGCACTGTTATTAGCCACAGCCGAAAATGCCATTTAAATGGGTCTGCGGATTGCGTATTCGCATTCGCACTCTCGCTAGGTCTAGGTCTAATCCACTGGCTCCGTCTCTGCCTGCCTCTGGCTCTGGTTCTGCACCAGACAGAGCGTAAAATATTTGACGAGCGTTGTCGTCGTCGTCATCGTCATCGTCTTCAACGTTTCCATTGGTTTCACACGAGCGCTGCTTAAAAAGCACTTTCCTTCTCAATTAAATCCCCAACAAGCGACTCAATGGTTTCTCTTCTTGTGACGCACAGCGTCGCGAACTGCACTTGGACAAAGACAAGACGCCCACATTGTCGGCCGTTTCGCGCCTGGAGAACAAATACTCTGACATATTGGAGCGGGCGGCTGGACGACGCCGCCACGAGGAGGATCGGGACAAGACTTTGGAACCGGATGATTATGGTGCCAGCTCCAGTGGGCTACTGCGCAGCGCCACCTCCCATCAGCTGGGTAAACCGAAGCTCTCGTCGAGTTCCTTCAATGCTGCCGATCGCAAAGAGCGCACACCTTACAGAACGCGCGCCCAACGACAACGCTATATGGCAGATTCCACGGACAGCGGTTACTTGACCAGCGGCAATCGGTTGCTGGACGACAACTATCCGCTGGACTATACTCACAGTCGCTACCAGCCGCATCACGACTATCATGATGCACTGCGTGCTGGGGGCGCCAGTGGCTATCCATCAAGTCGCTATGGTCGCTATGAGGAGGACAAGGCTCTCAACTCGGCACGCTTAAATCGTGCTTATGGCCGCAATAAGACCAATGTGCTTTCCACCGATCAGCCAGACAGTGGGCAACCTGAGGAGCGTGCTGGCCGCAGTCGATTTGCCAATCGTCGCAGGGAGCAGCCACCTCCGCTGGAACTGACGGCAGAAGATCGTGAGATTCTAGCCGATGATCGGTCGTCGGAAGACAATGCTGCCATTCTGTTGCTGCTGCGCGAGGACAATCAGTTCCTGGAGGCGAAGAAGTTTGAGGAACGCATGCGCAAGCGACGCGAACTGAAAGAGCGTGTCAAGCACATGGAAGAACTCGCAGCAGAGGCCAAGAAGACTGAGGCAGCAGCAGCAGCGGCGGCGGTGGCAGCTGTCGCCGAAGCGGAAGCAATTGAACAGCAGGCGGTGAAAGAAGCTGCTGCGGTGGCAACAGCAGCAGCAGCAGCTGCTTCGGTGGCAGCAGCATTGGCAAATGCAGTCGAGGAGGCACCCAAGAAAAAGTCGCGCAGCAAAAAAGTAACTAACGATGATAGCGATGCTAGCAGCTCATCCACGTCAGAGAGTAGCTCTGACGAGGCCGATAGTGAGGCCGAAACGGCAACAACTGGTGTCCAACTAACCAACACAGCTGACATCTCACAGAAAACCAAAAGCATTACAAACAAGGCCAACACTCCTACCAATTACTCTCTCAATGGTACTACAATTCCAACAACAACCACTAGTAACAACAACAACAACAACACGACCTCATCTAGTAGCACCACCAACACCAACACCATCCCCTCTGCTCTATCTAACCTTTCTTTGCGCGACACGGCACCGACAGTCAACAGCAGCAGCGGCAGCAGCAGCAACAAGAGTCGTTTTCTGCTCAATTCAGATCGCAATAACAACAACAACGACCTGTCCAAATATAAGCCCAGCAATGTCCTGCACTCGTCCAGCTCGGGTGCGCTTGCCTTTGGTGGTATTGGGGCGCGTTTGGCTGCGGCGGACACACGTCGCCAACAGCAGCAGCAGCAGCAGCGCTATCAGGCCGCCAGCTCACGCACAGCAGCTGTGCTAAGCGAATTTGAACGCTACAAGCCCAGCAGTGGGTCGAGCTATCTCCACGATAACTATAGCGGCGGCAGCAGCAGCAGCAGTAGCCGACGTCCCAATGCACTGGGCAGCTCACTCTATCAGCGCCAGCAATTGGATCCCTATAAGCAACAGCAGCCATCGTCGTCGTCGTCGTCGCGTTATCTGCAACAGCACGATCAGTATCTGCTGTCAAAGAGCGCCACCTCGTCGGCGCTGTTCCATAGGTCACGCATTCCAAAGACACTCTCGACCTTTGTAAGCCACTCGATGCATATTATTCGAAGCAACTTGTGCTTTTTGAAACGCGCCATATCCGCATCTCACATCCACCGCAACCTGACCGCTTCCTGACCGCCCGTCCGCCCGCCCAACCGGCCTGAACACAACTTACAGTATTGCTAACAAACAAAGCGCGCCAAGCTGCGCTTCTGTTAACTAACAGCCAAATATTAACGCGTTTTCTCTCTCTCTCTGTGTGTGCATGTAAGAAAACTTGATCAAAAATGCTTTCTTTCTCTATCGATATATATATATATTGCATCGAAATGCTTAATTTTCCTTTTACCAAAAAACATTCACAAAAAAAAATATATATATATATAAAAATACACTTATAGATTTATACAAATTTAAAAGTATACAAAATATGATGTGATCTAAAAGCTAAAAGCAATTACAATTTATAGCTATAAGCGAATGCAATTAATTTATGGTTCGTTTATTTTGTTTTATTTTTATTTTTTTCTAATATTACCCAAGACACAAAAGCACTTGTTTTTGTGCAGCATATACCCGTAAATACTTATGTGTATACATGCATTTCTATGTGTATATATATGCAAAAATGTTATTTGATATTTGTTGTACATGTTTTTTTTTTATTGAAAATATTAACCATTTATGTAAAACACAAAATCTTTCTCTCCAAAAAAAAAAAAAAAAAAAACCAAAAAAAAAAATGTCCGAACTAATTTTCTTATCGAACAAACGAAACGTATTTTTCTCGTGTTTTTTCTGAATATGATGATGAAAATCACAATGATGATGATGATGATGGGTTGATGTACAAACAACTTGATGATGATGATATGATGTAAATGGTTGGTTTATGGAATGTCTGTACTCTGCGGATTAATTGTGAATTACGCATTTTGGTGATATGATGGTAATTGGAAATCTGGAATTGCTGTGGTGCCAACGCGGGATCGTCTGCCGGATGTATATATATATATGATCGTCTGATTGGCTGGATATCTGGATGCACTGGATACTGCCTGGCGACCCATAAAATGTGTTTTTTTTTTTCTTTTTTCTCTTTCTTTTTTGTTTCTTTTCTCTCTTTCAAATTTGCATACTTTGACCACACACGCACCTTATGTATTCGTCTATATGACTGCCATCAACAACAACAACAACAACCACGCTCCCTGCTACAACAACGTCTTACAACCCACTACCAAAAAAACGCTCAAACCTAACTCGCTAAATATTCGTCCTCGTCGTCGCCGCCCCTTCTAAATCAACGGATAAATGCACCTACCCGCAATCGCACCACCATCGCCCACCACTCGACAACCACTCTTCGAACGATCGATCGCCCAAAACAGACAGCAAAGCCCGTCATTCAAGATGATGCTGATGGTCACTTAATTTACCACAACGGAGACATTCTCCACCACAGATGTTCGTGACAATTTTTTTCGTTTTTAATTTTTCCATATTTATGTTTAGAGATTATACTTTCCAAGTTAAAAGCAGACAATGAAGAAAATACTGCAGCACTTTACTCTCTTCTACCTACTCGTAATTCACATATAGTTTTCAACTATCCAAGTTTTCTTTATTATTTCTTAATTATCTTTCAACAAACTCATCGCGTGCGCCTTTTTTAGGCACACCAAAAAATTTCACACAATTTTCGACAGCTTCATTTAATAATTTCCCCAAACAAAGAAACAAAAGATAAGAAGAGAAACAAAATTACAAGTTGAACTTAAATTAAACTTTACAAAATTTTTCTTTTGCCCGTAATAATTAAATTGAAGTTTCTCACATATACACACACTCACATACACACGTGAAAATATATTTCCCGAACTTTTGGCATATAATTAATGAAATAATATTGAAACTGAAAACTTTTCCGTATACATTTTGTTAAGTGCAGTTTAAATTTAGAGCTTTTTGTGGTATTTTTGCTTTAATCTAAATGATACCCAGTTACAGGTTTAGCATTTAGCGTAAATAATTAACAAAATTGTTGCTATTCATGACTTAAGCCCGACTACAATTTGCCTCCTTTTACCAAATTTCAGATAAAATCATGGCCACATTGGGCGAGGGCACCTTCGGACGTGTGGTCAAGGTCAAAGACATGGAGCGGTAAGTTCAATGAAACCATTTCTTCGAAGTTACTCTAATTACACTTTTTTCTCTAATGCATTCACAGTGATTTTTGCATGGCCTTGAAGATCATCAAGAATGTTGAGAAATATCGCGAGGCTGCAAAGCTGGAGATCAATGCTTTAGAGAAGATAGCACAAAAGGATCCGCATGGTGATCAGTGAGTTCACAATTCGCAATATTATTAACATAAATATTAATGAATATATTCATCATTGTGCAGCCTGTGCGTCAAAATGATTGACTGGTTTGATTATCATGGACACATGTGCATAGTTTTTGAAATGCTTGGACTTAGTGTTTTCGATTTTTTGGTATGTGTTTCTATTGCTTGGTAAGTTGTAATAAGGTGAACACAATGTTAAATGTTTTTGCTTTATGATTACAGCGCGAGAACAACTATGAGCCGTATTCCTTGGACCAAGTGCGTCACATGGCCTATCAATTATGCTATTCTGTGAAGTTTCTACATGACAATCGATTAACGCACACAGATCTCAAGCCGGAGAATATACTGTTTGTCGATTCGGAATACACGTCTCACTATAATCATAAAATTGTATGTACAACGAACATTTCACAAAGTTTACATAATTTTAACATCATTTTGTATTCCTCAACAGAATCGTGAAGTGCGCCGCGTCAAAAGTACAGATGTGCGCCTAATTGACTTTGGCTCGGCCACCTTTGATCATGAACACCATAGCACAATTGTCTCGACGCGCCATTATCGCGCGCCGGAGGTCATACTGGAGCTAGGCTGGTCACAGCCCTGTGATGTTTGGTCCATCGGGTAAGTGCAGCCTATTAATATTAATAGCCTTTGAATCATTTGATTAATTTCATTCGGATACACTTGATTTCTTGTTAGTTGCATCTTGTTCGAGCTGTATTTGGGCATCACACTATTTCAGACGCACGACAATCGCGAGCATCTGGCCATGATGGAGCGCATCTTGGGACAAATTCCATATCGCATGGCACGGTAATACAATGCAGCTCATGCTTTTATTTCTCAAGGCGCAGTACTTTTCATCGAAATCGTTTAACGTGTAGCAATCACACTCTTTACAGCAAAACCAAAACAAAGTACTTCTATCATGGTAAGTTAGATTGGGATGAGAAGTCCAGCGCGGGTCGTTATGTGCGCGATCATTGCATGCCGTTGGTACTCAGTCAACTGAGCGACACCGAGGATCACTGTGAGCTGTTCAGCTTGATCAAGAAGATGTTGGAGTACGAGCCCTCGTCGCGCATCACGTTAGGTGAGCTCGCTAGCAATGACTCACACACTGATTGTTACTTGATTATTATCATCACTTTAATTTATAATAGGTGAAGCCTTAAGACATCCGTTCTTTGATAGACTGCCACCACACCAGCGTGTTGGTGAAATGGGTGTGAGCAAGCAGCCTCTCTCGTCCGGCAGCAGCAGCCGCGAGCGATCCCATAGTCTGTCCAGATGAGAATTACAGCGATTTGGTTATTGTTGACAACAACGTTAATCAAACACACATACAAACATGCATACACACAGTGAGAAGAACAGTCATCAATCAATGTAATGCAACATTTTATAGCAGCAGCAGCACTAGCAACAGCGAGAATAGCAACAGCAACTATTATAACTACAATTTAATACTTTAATACTTATGGCGAACCCTAATTTAAGTTTTACAGTCCACATAGAAATTTTGTAACTTGACTTGTATAGAAGGCAATTTATATACAAACCCAATTGTTTAGAAAATATTGTGTGCATGCTGCACGCGCTGCTTCATTTGATCTGTGCATTGTCTCATCCACCCGCCAATCGTGTTTTGTTTTGTAATGATAACCAAATCGTGCATAATATTATTGATGGTGCGTCCGTCCTGACATAGACGCCAACCCCTAAATACTGAAATGTAAATGACACAGAAATGTGCACAGTCTTACCTTGAGATAAAAGAGACACCAATACGACTGCAATGCTTAAAGAAAACTACAATTGTAAATGTAATATATAAGAAAAACGATAACGCGCTAGTTGAAATGCATCTCCATATACAAGCTGTCATTGCAGTGGATTTGCCACTAATCTGTAATTAATCTACTATATATTTCAAGTGCGTGAGTTGTAAGCTAATGCGAGCCATTGCTCTCGCACCCATCGCTAACACATATATGTAAACATATGTAAAGCTTGACTATTGTTACAACTCGAGTGTATACAACAAACAGCAACAAGCGCAGCGTATTTTTGTAAAAATTATTTAGCAGTCAGTCATACTTTCTCTTAGTTTATGTTTAAATGTGAAGAATCGGCGCTGTTTGTTTAGTTTTTCGTCAACATACATGCACCCAGGCACATACACACCACACCACACCAACACATACACGCATATATATATTTATATGAGAAAGAACACTAGATAGAGGGAGAGCAGGAAGAAGTATATAGTTACATATACTTAACATACTTAATTCAAATGATTGTGAGTTAGTTTAATATTACATAAATATTAATTATAAATTACATTATTTGCAATTAAATAACCCGATCAACCAGCATATAAGATCTACAAAAAATTTAAATATACAACTATTATTGTCAAGTTATTCAAAACTGAACTAAATTAAATAAAAAAAAATTACTTGATTCTTTAATTGGGCTGGTAACGTCTCACGTCCTTCTAAACTCTGTATGTATTTGGCCAAATGATACATATTTTTGATCTGAAGGTACAAAGGACTCGATTTGTATTTAATGTTTTCCAGTGTTCGTCGAAAGAAACTCGGTGGGGAATGACACTGGGTAGCTCAGAAATAATAAGAAAAACAAAAAACCCGGCTAGCTTTAAGGACTATCCGGATGTCCCTTAAACCAAAAATGTGTTTTTGGCCTGCACATTCGAATAAGAAAATAAAAAAGAAGAAAGTCTTCTAGGCGGCAGACAGATAAAATAGGTTGTAAAATAGAAAAATGGCCATGACTACCAACTGACCGAAGGACTTTCAAATCGTTCTTGTAGTTAACGAGAAACCAAGGATTTTGTGATTCAACTGATTCCCTATTCCTATTCCTATATTTCACAATTGTTTGGGTTTATAGATGACCCGGTAATCCTTGAATGAATTTCCATAGAGTTCGTCCTTGCGATTCTCACGCACCATGTCCTTCGAGAATCCGAAATCATTGACGATATAAAGCTATTTCTGAAAATTAAATACTCTTCACTCGTCCTAAAAGTATGCGTTAAAATATTTGCTTTTCTAAGTCTAGTTTGCATTACAGATTTTTCTATTCCCCACATAAGTATGCTCTAAAATTGAAGATTGTTGTAAACATGGATGGTTAAATAATTAAGCAATTTTTTGGTTTTCGGGAATATTTTAGCATTTATTCTTGTTTTTTAGTGGATTTTCGCTACGTGTTTAAATGTCAATTGATTTTGTCGTATTTGTTTTCTAAAATTTTACAATAGTTTCAACTAAATAAATAATAACAATTTATAAATATAATTCTCTTTTTTTTGTGTTCTCTTACTCGTTAGCTGAGTTTTTGTCGAGTTTAAGTTTAACGTAAATATTTTGTTGATATCTCCCATTCAATAAGTATCTCAAAATTAGAAACAGTATCAGTAATTTGCTTTTGATTTAAATGTTCTCTGTTCTCTGTAAGAATTTGTTGAATTAGGCCAAAAACAATGAGCTCATCAGAATGTGCATTACTTGGCTATTATAACTTAGTGGCTAAAAATCGGCTTAGGCTAGCTAAATATAAAAATAATAGTTAAGTCTACAGATTGCAACGAAAACAAAAAACCTATGCAAACTATGCTTTATATGCAATAAATAAATATGTATGTACCTAACATTTACATCTGTTCATAATAATGATAATAATAAGTATTCTCTGTGATCCTTTCTATGTAAATACAATCATATATACAAAAAACAACTCAGTTTTGCGATTTGGACAGACACACTGCTTCACAAAGCAACAGAAAACTTATTGTTAAAACATTTATCTTTGTAACTACGTTTTCGTTAACATTTTCATATTGTTTTTATTGTCTATTTCATAGATGTGTCGCGGAGCCACACAGGCGCAACTAAGCAGAGTCGAAATTCGATAGAAAACTATAGAAATCAACTCGAAACGAACTCGAAAGCGACAGACAGTTGACACTGATATCTAACTACATATATATATGTATGCAAATATACTTTTTTATGGCCAGCTGCCTCTACTTATGCCCAATAACGAGCGTATAGTTTGCTGTGGTTATTGTCGACGGCAACGCCGCCAGCGCTGGTCATTTGGCCAGCTTCAAGATCTCCGCCTGCGCGGCTGCACTAGCTGCCGATGCTGCTGCTGATGATGATGCCGGAACACCGGCTGGCGGCGCTGGAGCTATCCGTATGGGCTTGGCACGCTGCTGATTGAAGAGTCCGCTCAGTGTGGCCGTTGTGCTAGCGGTCAGCGTCATGCTGCCACCACTACCGCTATTCGCCTGACCACTTGGCGTCGCTTGGCGCTTGCCTCGCGCCAATCCACCATTGTTGCTGTTGTGTGTTGACGTAGGCTGCTGCTGTAGTTGCTGGCCAATAACTGCGGATGCTGAGGTTGCCGATGCTGAAATGTTATCCAACTCAGTCATTGCTTCTTGTATAGCCCGCTCGAGTTGCGAGTTCAATTTGCGGCTCCTTTTTTTTTGGATTGGTGGATTTTGGTGGTGGTGTTTGTTTGTGTGCGTGTGTTGTGGTTTTGGGTATTTCGGATTAAGATTTTTGGACAGGGGGTTTTTTGTCATGATGATGATGATTATGCATATACACACATAGGGTTATACACACATACGCATATACACACGCGTTGAGTTTGATTTTGTTTTTGTGTTTGGTTTTGGCAGCGCATAATAAAAAAAAGAAACAAGAATATTAATTAGCAAAATCAAAATTAAATCGACAACTTAAAATCAAAACTAATTTCAAATGCATTGAAATGCCAATATTGACTACACTGCACAATAAATACGAGTAATACGCAAATATAAGTTGCCAAATGCTACAAAAGTTAACAACAAAAAAAATCTCCAAATACTAAAAAAAATCATTTTTTTATCGTTCTGCAAAAAAAATATATATATAAATGGTCTACTTTGAAATATAATGGGAGGGCTGGATTGAAACATTTATATTTGCATATGTTACACTGTTTTCTTAAGGTTAAAATACTGAAGAAAAGATTTATTTATATCAAAGAAATCATATACATCCAGCATATAAGAAATATTCCAGGCATTTAAAAGTACAAATTTACTGACTAGGATTATAAAAAACATATATAAATCTATATATTTTATTAAAGTCATAGCGCAAAAGAAAACTGTTCTAAGTTTTGTACATAGATTAGCCAAAAATAAACTAAAAACAAATTACTTTTTACAGTGCTGTCTTGTGCAGGACTAAGAAATATGAAAACAATGGACGCCTATGCTGAATCTATTCGATCTTGAGCTGCACCGGAGTCTACAACGCCCCCTTGACAACCTTGACACATCGAAACCGTCCGACAATATCGAGCACAGAATTTCAGACTCATATTTACACCGACTTCTCGTGTGATGCTCACTTTCTGGTATCCTTTTGCGCCTTGTGGTGTGCCTCCAAGCCTTCGGAGAGGCTCTGCAACAAGTTGACCGGTATCAGCTCGGAGGTGGAACGCCCGCCACCGCCGAACCACTGCACCCACACATGATCGAACTGTTGCGATGGTGTGCAAACACCGTCGGGCATCTTAACAATTTTGCCAGGCCAGGCAGGATGTCCACGCGCCGGCCCCCAGATCAGCTCACCAATGGCAAATGTTCGAGGTGGCAACAGTGCCACCGAACATGTTCTTGCCACCGTGCGATGCGTTCGACGTGCTCGCTTTGTTGGTGTGCGGCAGTTGGATTTAATGGGTGAAGCTTCACTGAGCGCTGGTGCATCCGCAATGGTCGGCAGCTGCGTGGTGGTGGGTGACTCTATATAGAGATTTGGAGGCAGCGGCCTGATTAATGAAGCCAACACTCGATAGACAGGAATCCCGACAACCGACACCCGACAGTACAAAAAGCAGAAAACACACACAAAACGAAAGCAAAATAGTGCAGAGGGATGCGAGGGGTGCTTGACACGTGCTTGACATGCATCAGGTGTGTATGTGAGAGGCTGGTGGTGCTGGTGGGTTAGTCAGTTAGTGAATGGATGCAGTTAGTGGCTGGTGGCATTAGGACACTGGCAAAGCCTTACCCTGGTAGTCAACGCTAACTACTTTGTGATTATGGATATAGACGTTTGGGTTGATGTGGCTATGGCTGTTGCTGTGACTGTGACTGTTGGAAAGGGGCTGGTGGTGGTGCATGACTTGGCGTGTCGGTGCCATCGTAGTTAGTGATGTGGTTGACAATGATGCTGACGATGTTGATGAAATGGAGAGGGATGTTGAGCTAGCCATACGCATACCTTGACCCATTAGCCCCATGGTGTGACCGCTCTCCGACGACGCCTGCTGCGATGTGATGTGTATCCGTCGTATCTTCGGCTCCGATGGCTTATACATGCTGCTGGGCTGGCTGAATAAATTGCTGCTGCAAATGCCTGCAGGAAGAAAAAATATCGGTTCGATTACTAAGTTAACGGGTATCGAGAGCAATGATATCTTGAAAAAGAACTCAGCATTCGAGTGATACTCCTAATGGGAGCGTGGGGCAACACTCACTTCTCTCGCAGTCCGTGGATGAGGGCGACTGGCGGCTCTCGACGCTTTGGGGGGAAATGGCTGCATCTGGCTCTGAGCTGGACACGCACTGCACCTGCAACACAAAATAGACACTCAATAAGATGAGGAAACTTCAGTGGATGGTTGCATTTGATGGCATACCATGTCACCGCTCCCGCTGCTACGATGGCTGGGCGGTCGCTCGGGACTCTGCGGACTGCATGTGGTCGTATCCGGCGGGCTGGCGGCAGTTAACTGGCGACTGCTATGCGATTCCGAGACGTAGCTGGTTGCCTGGGGCGGCTGCAATGTGATCTGCTGAGCCTGCTGCTGCTGCTGCTGTTGTTGCTGTTGTGGCTGCTGCTGAATTTGTATCGTCGCCGTGGGACTGGCCTGCACAAAGGATGCGCCGCTCTGCTGCGCTGTGGGCATCACCAGACCCATGGGCGTCGAATAGATCTGACCGATGGGACTGAGCTGCCCGTTGGCACCCACAATATACTGCTGGCCACCGGCGCCGGGCGATATAAAGGACGCTTTGTTCTGCGGCGACGGAGTACGCAGCATAACCGGTCCCTGGTGCGTCAGCAAACTCGTCGTGGGCATATTCTGGATTTGCAACAATGTGGCATCCGGTCCCATGACCAGGCCGGCCGGCATAAGTAACTGCTGCCCAATGAGATTCACCTGCTGCAGTATCTGACCATTCTGGAGCAGCAGCTGCTGGGTCTGTGGTGCCGCCGTCGCCGGCTTATTGACCACAATGCCCTGGATGCCGGGACTCAGCTGGAATTGCTGCGAAAATTGCGGCGGTGGCGGTGGCGCCGCGGCTGCAACTGCAGCTGCATTTGCCGCTTGTTGCAACAGCGCTGGCGCCTGGCTGGGTATGCTGGGCGAGATCTGGGGCGAGTGCGTCTTAACCGGCGACCCGGCAGTACCACATATCAACGGCGGAGGAGGTGGTGTGCTGCACACAGAGCTCTTGCGCTTGCGCGGCCTTCGTTTCGCCTCGGGCGAATTAATAATGGTTGCCGTCGCCTGTGGCTGTTGCATGCCCAACAACTGATTCTGCTCAGCCGCGTGGTGGTGCTGCTGCTGCTGTTGCTGTTGCTGGTGGTGTACGATGTAGCCGCCATTGGGCAGTGTGTTGAGCAGGACGGTCTGCGTCGGCGCCGTCGCTGTGCCACCCGCCTGGCTGATCTGACTAATTTGGCTGGCCTGCGAGCTGATGATCTGATGGTGCAGCAACTTGGCGGCACCATTCGCATTGAGCATCTGCGATGGTTGGCTGACAATGTAGCCACCGCTGGGCTGGGCGTGCAGCGGTCGTTGAGCTTGGGCAGCCGTTGTCGGATGTTTGCCAGACGTGGGTATGACCAGCAGTTGGCCGGAGGAGGTCATGATCAGCTGGTTGCCACCGCCACTGTTGCCCGCCATCGATTGCAGCTGAGCCACAGCAGTATTGGCACTGCTCAGCGTTGTGCCTGATCTACTGATGCCCGCCGTCGTTGTAACAATGCTGCGCGTCAGCGTTGTGGCACCATTATTGGCCACAGCCTGACGTTGTCCGGGCTGTCCACCAACTATGGGCTGACACTGCTGGCGCAGCAGACGCAACTGAGCCGTGGGCTGGACAGCTGACGGCACCTGCAGCTGAGGCTGACGCATTTGCAATTGTAGCTGCTGTGGCTGAGGTTGGGGCTGTGGTTGGGTTTGGGCTTGAGGTTTGGGTGAGGCGGAGGGGGTGCTCTTGGCCGAGTCTATAGAGTCCGTGGGCGAGGAGAGACTGTGACGCGGACTCTCGTGGCTGGTGGAGATGGCACCCACCTGTTCGGGCCGTTTCTCTGGCTCCGACCCACTGCTGGATACGGGCGACTCCTGCGGCGCCGGCACCACCGTAATGCTGGTGATCTGCGGCTTTTGTGGGCGCGCAAATGCAGCTGCCGCCGTATCCACATGCAGGGAACGCGGCACGGCATTGCTCGTCGCTGGACTCGACTCCAGTTCCCATTTTCCGCCATTGAGGAGAGACAGGCGTCGTATACGTTGACGCTGCTGCTGATGCTGTTGATGCTGCTGCAGCTGCTGATGCTGTTGATGTTGATGTTGCGAGCTATGCACAATGGGCTCCTGTGGCAGTGCTCGGGCCGTGGTCGTCGCTGTTAGTGGCTTAGCCGAATCCAATCCGGCGCCGAGTGTGTTGTGCAGGAGTGCCGTTTGCTGCTGCAAATAGCCCGCCGGATCATCCTTGAAATTGGGCTGCTGCGCAGGTGGTGGTGGAGGAGGATGAGGAACTGGCGGCGTAACCGCTGGCTTTATCACATGCGTTGCGGTTAGATTTGCAACTGGAACGGAAACTGGAGCGGAAATTGAAGCCGATGCTGTTCGTTTCAGAGTGCTGTCCACGCCTGTTGTATGACTAGTTTGCATGGGTGTGGCTGCAATTGGAACTGTTGCTGCGTACGATGTCCTGCCAGCCAGTTTGTTATTATTATTATTGTTGTTGTTGCCATATTTGTGGCAATCAGCGTCTGAAATGTGACAAACAAATTGAAAGGCAAAGTCAGCGAAAGGTTGAATACTTGAATGTCGTCCCTCGTTTGCTTATTCAAAGTGCGTCGTCCTTAAAGTGCCCGCAACGTGTTCCACAGTACAACAGCAAAGGACGACAGCAAGTGAAGGGCGTTTCACAAAGGTCGCCACTTGACAATGCCAGACAACAAAAAGCGCCAAATGCCAAATGGCTGCGAAAGCAAAGCACAATAAAATCAAAACACAAAAACGTGCACCGCAAACTTATTAGCCAAGAAATGGAGGAAAGGCAGTTTTCTTCTTTTTTTTTTTTTTGAGACTGGGACAAAAAGCACTCCCAATTACTGAGTAGCAGGACTTGGCTAAGGAGGGGTAAGTAAGGTTCAACACTCAGATAATGGTAAACTTAATTAAAATACAAAAACAAAACAAACAAAAAAGGACAAGCGATGCCGACATTATCTTCTACTCTTCAAAAATTATAAAATATAAGCAAAAATGTAACTGACTGGGTCATACTCTGGTTTTACTGTTCTTTAAGATTGTCGGTGTCATCGTGGTGGTTAGTTAACTACGATAAATACAAAATATAACTATTTATTATGATTATGGTTTGCTGAAGTGCATGTGGCACAGTTGTGCGTCGAGTTAATAGTGACCACAGAGCATAATCACAAAAAGTAATGTTTGCTGCAAGCCACATTGTAATCAAAAGAACACATATGTATACATAAATACATACATATATACATACATACATAAATACATACATACATATTCAGAACTCTAATTATAAACCACTCTTGATTCCCTTGGGTCGAAAAGCAAAAAATGGAAATTCAGCATAAGCCCAAAGTGTTTTCTACTCCAACAAATTTTGACGGGCTTTTCGAAATCAGCATGCGAATTTAAAACAGCAGCAATAATTAAATCATCTAAGCGAATTGAGCTTCATAGAGTTTTTTCTTAGTTGTATTCAATAGAGTAAGCAAATCATACATAATTCAAGGATTGCAAATCGCCTGACTGCACGCTGGCTTACACACACATTCATATTTATATATATATATACATATATATATATATATATATATATGTATTCACATGCACATTCACTCACTTAAGCCGCAGTCGCGAACATTTCTAAACGCAAACTTTTGCTTGGCACGGCATTTTGAATGCCCCACCAATTTGGGGGCAATGGCAAGTGCCTGCATCCATGGCCAGTTGCCTTTGGCCTGGGCGTGGCTGATAGGCGGATCGCAACGGACGCGCATGGCTAAAGTTTGCCGTCAAGTCCCTTTTGTTTCAATTAACCTTTTCATTTTAAAGTTTTAACAATGTTTGCGAAATGTTTGCCCAGCTGCTGGACCCCAACCCCCCCAAAAAAAAACCACCAAACACCAACACCCGCAATGCTCGCCTTCTGGGTGGTCAACCGCCGCAACACCAGGTTTTTGTGCAACAAAGTGTCTGTATGGTGGAGACCGAAAGCTTTAAGGTGATCCCAAACGCGTTCAAATCCTTTTTTTTTTGTGCGCTTTGTATCTTGGCAACAGTTTGGCTCTATCTCAAATTGAAATTCAAGGCATGAAAGCCATTTGGAAATCCCCGTATGGCCTTACAAACCAAGAAACATTCAAGCATGCACAGCAGAGCACACTGAACACCATTTAACGCTGCAGATCCGAGGATTGTTGAACGAATCCTGCACACACTTTTGGTATACAAAATGTTTATAAACTGTGGCAACAACAAATTTTGAATACCTTTCAGCTGCTTAAATATTGCATTAACTGTAATGGACAAATGCTTTGCTTTCAAGTAATTACAAGTATTTATTTACAAACGCAAGAGCAAACAATACAGCACTGAACAAACACCCCCCGACAAACAGACCCGGGGCACCACTAAAAAGTTTTTAACAGCTATGAAGCTCAACTCAGTATTTGGACAATAAAAATGCTGTATAAAGTTAGCAACAGTAACTTTTTGTTTCCTAATCTCAAATAAACAGAGCACAGGATGCCACCCCATCCTCCATCCATACACCCCTCCCACCGCTCTCTCTCTCTCTCTGCCACTGCTTTAGGCGCTCGCTGTGAAGTTTAAATGTTGAACAGTTGAGGGTATTTAATAAACATAATATTTATTTATTTACAATCGCACATCTATACAACAACCCCAAGGCAGCAGCCGCAGCACCCGCAGCAGCAGAGGCGACAACGCTTTTCACTGCACAAGTTAGGATCCTTTGACTGGTCATACAAAGGAACGAAATCAAAACACACACTCATCGCATACACAGAGCAAAGCAAACAAACATAGACGACAAGTTGAGGTGAGGTGAGGTGGGGTGGGTCGAGGAGCGGCAAATGCACTTCCTGTCAAGGCAACGTTGCCACGTTGCCACGCCTACGGCCGCAGTTCGTCGAGGCTTAAAGCTTGTTGAACTCACCGCTCTGATTTTTGTTTTCTTTTCGTCTTTTCTTATTCATGTGTGCGTATTACCCTCTTTTATAGAGTTTTTAACTCTCTCTCTCGTTCTCTCCATCTCTCTAGCTCTCACTCTCTCTCTGTCTGTCTCTCTGTCTCTTTCTCTGTCTTTGCCACTTTCAATGTGTGTGCATTTTCACTTTGTCATTGTCTAGGCAGTAGTTTTCCACTTGCCAGCAGCACAAGCACATTGCAATTGCATTCACCATGTGTGTGTGTGTGTGTGAGTGTGTGTGTGTGTGTGCACACATTCCAACGAAAGTCCTTTGGATAGGTATGCGCAAATATGCATAGCAATGTTTGTCAGCACCGTGCGCTTTTCACTCCTGCCAGCTGTGCTCGTTTCCTCCATGGTTGCCTTGCTCTCTCCTGCACTTATCGCACGTCTCTACACTATTTTTACTGCTACTCTATAACCGTTCCCCTTCCCCTCCCCACCTCATGGTTGTCTTCGTGTTTGCAGTTGAGTGGAAAAAATACAAATTCTGTCTTTGCACAATTCTTTTTCATATAGCATACTTTTGTGCGGTGCAAGCGCTTTCGACTTTGGTGGCCGCTGGGAACTTTTTGAGTCGCTTTGTCGTTGCCCACTTTGCCAGGGTTGCCATGACGCTGAATGTTGTCAAAGTAAGCTGCAATTGGCAAGCGCAATGAACAAAGACAACGGTCAAATGCACGTAAATTAAAAACAAGAAACTCCATTCATCTTAGGCACGATGAAGAATATATACCCTTCCAGAGCGGAATTCAATTGTCGACATCTAAACATCACTATCAATTACAAAAAAACCGAAAGAGAGCTAATTTATAATCAATTATTCCTTTGGGAAGCTATAAGAATTAGTTCGCCACCTTCAATCGACTGTTCCTATATTATTATAATCCAAAAAACAAGCATGGCTGATGAGTTTGTTAGGATCTGTTGGTAAATAAAATAGTTTTTCGTACGAGAACATATCTTTCCACCAATTGTTACTGTGGGATACGATCCGGCAGCAAATATGCCTCAAGCAAAGTCATTTCTAGAAGCCAAGCAGCATCGAGATTGCTGTAAAACTGTAGTATTAGTTTGTATAACTTAACTATTCATGCTGATCAAGTCTTCTTAAACTGCGTTACAAACTTTACAACAAAATTATAAAACTCTGTTGAGATGCATAAGATGCATAATGAGTTTTGTAAACTTAATTGGCTTCAACGTGACATTCATTGGACTGTGCAATTAAATTCAATTTAAGTTAAGTCTTTAAGTTATCAAATATTCATTTCGCTCATTTAATTGCAGCAGCAGGAGCCGAGTGTTATTCTATAATTAAATTTGGTTGCGTGACAAGCGAACAGAATGTTTAAATATTATTTGTTTAGTGCTTTGCTTTGATTAAAGTTTGCCCACAAATATTTGGCTGTCAGCTGTCACTCACCTTTGTTGGCCAATTCGAGTGTTGTTGCTATTGTTGCTGTTGCAGATGTTGTCGTTGTTGTTGTGGATGTCACCGCGGCTGTTGCCATCAACGTATTAAACGCATCGTTGACAGCTGCTACTGTTGCCACCGATATTGTGGCCATCATTAACTCCTTCGCGGGCTGCTCAGCATCGAGCAAATGACGCTGATGCGAGCAGAGATGTGTGGCTGTTGCAGTTGCCCTCTCCTGGTTGCTGCTGCTGCTGCTGCTGCTGCTGATGACTGGCGACACCTTTAATGGCATGTTGGGCACCTGCAATTAAAATTAAAATCAAAAACAAAAACCAAGCAACGAATTGGCACATTAGCAATTAAAATTGAATGGAGAATTGAGGCGCCGCTGTTGACGCATTTACAATGGTTGTTGTCAATTTAAAATCGATAACTTAATCAGATGCACACCCACAAACAAATACACACACACACACACACACACACACACACATAGCTAAGCACACTCACGTACCGACCGAGAGACATATGGGTTCTGCTATTAATTTACATATGAAACGTGAGTCGCATTTGCAAAAAATCAGCAATCACCCAAACAAAGCAGTCGTCTTATGCGGCGCTTGTTATACCCTTTAGTAATTGCATACGAAGTGCCTCCTTTTCGATTCTCAAGAAGTTTTCAGTTAGTTTCAAGAGTATCTTGTTACAATAATTGGCCTCAAGAGCAGTAAACTTACAGTAGCTTTGCTCTCTTTCACTTTTTTTTTAACTTATTTTTTCATACCCTGCATTGAAAAAAGTGGCATTTCTAAGTTGTGTAAATTGATGTATTCAAAAAGCAAAATAAATAAGTATGGCTGACTATTTAACAAATATAGTATCTTGGATATGTAAATGATTGTTCAGTCTTTAGATCAGAAACTAGAACAGTATTTAAAATCTTTTTAGTATTACGAATCTCATAGATAAACTGTATAATTCATTATTAAAAGTTATTAAAAATGGAACTAATTAACTTAGTGTAGTTCATTATAGAATGGTATTATTAAGCTACAGGGTATCGCTAAGTCATCATATCAGTCAATGAAATGCTGTTGTTTTACTGTTTGTTTTGCTTTGGTAACCTTCAGCACATAAAATGCAGTAAAAAGCAAAACACAAACAAATACACTTTCACACACACACACACACACACACACACACACACACGCACACACACACACACACAGACAGACAGACACTGGTTGTGTATACCGTTGGTAGCTTGGGGCTTAGTAAGCGTCCAATTAGCATTTTTGTAAATAGATACTCGACAGCCGACAAAGCAAGCAGGCGAGGAGCACATCGTACACGTGTAATCCAATCAGATGCTGCAAATTGCGCTTGATGAGTACATCAAAAGATTTGATGGCGCCATAGGAACGAACCCACTCTCTATCCTCGTACCGCCCAAAGCCCAGCCCAACACATCCTTCAGCAGGTGCATAGCGTATGGAATTTATGCAAATGAGTCTGGGGGTTTGGAGCGCATCGATTTGGACGCCTTCGAGCATGACAACGACCCTTTTTTGGGACCGGGCACGCCTCCAGTGAGCAATTTCAATCAGTGGACGGCAATTGCTTCATCGGACGCTTAAGCGCTGAAAGCGATTCACTGCCATTTTGGTCAACAATTTGTGCGAAGCACACTCGCACATCGAACGACCAAACGGACGAACGAACGAGCAAACCCGTGTACAAATTCCGCACAACCAAAGTTGGCTATAAAACATTAAAATGTTTTTTTCTTTCCTTTTTTATTTGTATGTGTACAGTGTGCAGAGAACTGACTTTTTTTTATGCCTTTTAAGTCAATTGAGCACTTGGTAAACGCTTAACAACTGCTGCATCGGTTTCTACTTTCAGAAAAAGAGACTTGCAGCAATGATCACATTTCATTTAATATATGCATATATATGTAGTTTTTCCCTCTCTCTCTCTCTCTCACTCTCTCTATCTCTCTCTGATCTGAAGTGAATGCCAAACATTCCCATAATAGAGACACTCAATTCATGTTCACTTAAGAGTCGTCCGTCAAGAGTCCCAAATATATTTATATATCCACAGACAACGAACACTGAGGTTGGTTTATTAATTTGCCACACCCAAGCCAGATAATCATCAGGCCAATAGCAATTCTCATGTACGTTTCTATATTCCTGTTGCCCCAAAATGCCCAATCCCCAAGTTGATGACTTCACGTAAACGACTCTCAGCTCTGATTGTTACTGTTGTTGTTGGTGCTGCTGCTGCTGTGGTTATTCTGTTTTCATATTTCAGATGTTGCTGTTATGGCTTTTCAAGTTGCCGTTGTTGCTCTGCTTACTGCTTACTCCTATTGCCACTTAGTCAAAGGCGGCTGTCTCACATTGACTGCCACAAAGAGCAAACATAATTTCAACTTTTCAAACGTAATAAAACCACAATATGTCCCCCCTTCTCGCTCTCCCCTTCAGACCCCATTCAGCCAGTGCCTCTCCGCAAATGCGCTTTCGTGCTGCTGCACAGACAGATGTAAAATAGAAACCTCAGAAGCCCGACGACTTCCTTTAGACACCCCCCACCCCTACCCCTTCCAGCACTGATTACGGAAATATGTAGCACATTCAACATTGCCAACTGGGTCGTCATTTGGGGGCGTGGCCAATTTGCTCTCCAGTTGTCTGCGGTGCATCAAAAAAAGAAAAAAAATGACAAACGAAATGCAACAGAGACAAAGCTAGATGGCATAAGTCTGGCCAGGCAAATCGATAATTAAATTTAGTATTGAAATACACGAGGTATATGAACATTTAATTGGCATTTAATGAAGGTATAATTAGTAGACAAAAGCCATGCATGCTCCATGTCCCCAACATTAACAGCAACCACAAAGCAGACACTGCTGCGGATGAGTTAAAAGAGTATTTAAAATGATTTCACTTTTTTTTTTCAATGTGGGCAACTTTTTTAAAATTATTCCGCAAATGTTTAACATCAAATTGTATGTTATTAAAAAAAAAAACAGGTAATCACAAAAGTGGTTAAAGGTATAATAATTTCAAATACAAAAAGCTGATATGCCCTGTTTATAAAATAAAGTATTCGTAAATGTGCATTGTAATTATATATATATATATATATATATATATATATATATATATAGATGTGAGCATATGGACACTCTTGTTTGCCATTATAATACATAAATTGTTATGTATATTTATTTACCGAATGGCATGTTCTGAATGCATTTTGCATATTTGACATATTAACTATCGTTGCATTTGACAGAATGCTGAGCTGAGGGCCGAGGACGAGAGTGAACTGGAGACAGAGGACACGCCTCTGTACAACACGCAATACAGGGACAAGCGACATCGGAGTAAATATCAACTAAATATTGCATTTTTGCATGCATAATTGCTACGAAATTAAAGCAAAATGCACAGACGACGAAGGGTTGAGTGAGTGGCCATTGGGCGACATGCGACAACTCGGCTCGACCCATGGTGGATCAGGTGTGAAGCTTGTGCACAGGTGCATGGCCGGTGTTGGATTACATTAACGTCATAATGACCACCGTCGAGGGCTCGTCGCCAGAAGCCCAACGCCCGACAGTTTTAATCCTGGGCCCCGGTGGCAACAATGGTGGATGAGGTGGTCGCATGCAGACTGACACCACCTCTGGTTGCTGCCTACTTGCCTACTGCTGCCCCCTTGTTGCTTGTTCTTTGCTTGTTGCAGCTGGTGGCTGCTTTGCCTGCGGCAATTGAGCGCACTCGCGACAGGAACTTGCGGCACTGCCGGATGTGAGTAATCGCTCAGTCACGTCGCCATCGGTAGCCATCGTGTTTCACTGCTGCGTGCCACCAGCCGAGCCGCTATTGTCGACTCAGCCAGGACATTGCAGCGTTGCAAGATTTCCGTGACGGCGCACCAGCTCGCCAGTTCACCAGCTTGCCAGCTCGCATTGCTGCACTGGACACTTAGCCATGCATGACGTAACCCGCAACGGAAATCGCTCAATGTTCGCCGCTCTGCGCACATGCAATCCCCAGCAGCAGCATTAGCAGACCCACTTGGAGGTGGGTCAATGTGTTGCTGCACGTTGTTGCTGGCTTGTCCACCACTTAAGCAGCTTCGTACTGAAATCAGTAGATTTAGTAAAAACAGAAATCTAACTTATTTTCTGTGGCAGACGCCATGTGTACACTGTGCATTGCTTTCACTCTCATTGTTGGCCTTGTGTTTGCATATTGTTTGCTACCTTCGCACGGTTGCACAAAACTCTTACAATTTTCATTAAACTGAACGCTTCCACGTCAGTCAAAGTCAACGCTGCTGTTGCTGTTGCAGTTGAACTGAGACAACACACAAGATAGATGGGGTAAGTGCAGTTCGAACCCATCAGTGGCAACATTCTCACATCACAGGCTCACTGCACACAGCACAGGGCACAGTTGAGTGGACTTTCACCCCGCATCCCGCACTCCGCACCCCTCTCCAGTGTCGTCTTAATGCCACGCTGTCTGCTCTTGGCGCGTACAACATTTAATTTGAACTAATGAAGTTTCTATAAAAGCCTCGCGTAAGTGAATGGCAAGAAACAAGCAAAAAAAAAACCGAAAACGAAAAAATAAAACGATGCACAAAGCGGAGCAAGCGACCCAACCCGGAACGAACCAAACCGAACCGAACCGCCATAAAGCGTCCCAACTCGAAACTGGGACTGAAATTCAATTTCGCCCAAAAGTGAAGTTGAAATTTGCAGCAATTGATCATCCTGCTTACAATTGGAGTGACGTGCAAATTACACTTAAAAACAAAAAAGAAAAAAAGTGAATAAAAAACAAAACTTGATATTGATCACAACTTGAAAATACCTTGTTGAAAAAAATATTTAACTGGAATAAAATTGATTTTTTCATTTAGAATACACTAAAAGTTAACAAAATATTCTTTAAAGTATCGAGCCAATCAGCAAAGTTGTTATGCAAGAGAAAGAGCATACCCCTTCCTTAGTGTTTGTGCAGGGTATGCACACTCAACTGACACATCTCCTCGGCCCACCTGCCGTCGCTGGCCCAGCGCTAATTGTTTTAGTTGTTGTTCCATGAATATGCTAAACTGTCTGCTGTATTTTGCGTCAACCCGTTGTTGGTCGTCCCATCCCAGTCCCATCCCAGACCCATCCCGTTCCACTGCATGCCCACTCCACTGCACACGTTCTCGCTCAGCAAATGTTTATAAATGCAAATTGGCCGAAAAGTGCAGCAGCAGCAGCAGCAACAGCAACAGCAGCGACACCGACAACGTCACTTTCTGGACGTGCTTCGGTGAATTTCGTTTAGTTGGCCCCTAAAGGGAGGTGTAATTGGGGCGCGCGGGTGGAATTCATGCGGCATGAGTAAATAAGTGAAGCAATTCACTGGGATTGACTGCTCTGACCAGCTGCTGTTGGGTTTGGTTCACTTTCGGTTTTTGGACAGACAGTGTTACCAACATGGCCCTGACATCGCTCATGTCTTGCCCCAACTCTGTGATGATGTTGTGAGGCAGCCTTCAAACACACACACATACACACAAGACAATATAAGCAGCTGAGCTTGGAAACAAACTAAGGTGCTAAGGTATTTTGATTTGTGTGTGTGTGTGGCTGTGTGTGTGTGTGTGTGTGTGTGTCGTAAACGGCAATCACAATGCCCAATGCGTTTCAATTTTGGTTTTATTTTTATTTTTATTCGAAGTTGTAAATTTTGAGCAGCCGTCGCTGACCTTCTCAAGTTTGTTTGCTTGTTGTTTCAATTGTTGTTGCTGTTGTTGGTGTTGGTGTCGTTGCTGTTTGTTTACACAGAGCTTGCATCGAACTCTGTGTAGACTGACTGACAGACAGACTTACAAACAGACATACATACATACATACCGAGTCTGACAGCCACAACGATCTGGGGACGGGGCCAAAGTTTTATTTGTTTGTTCAACTTGCGGCGTTACACAAATTGCGTTCAACGTTCTCAAAATAGAACCCCGTGGAATACTTAAGGTATTTGCATACAAAAACACATACTTATATACTTAAATACAGTTGAACAAAGTCAGCTGTGTAACTGTGTGAGGAAAATCAATTTTAATTGCTTCGCATATATATCGAAAAAGGCGATGCGATCGAAAAGAATTTAACGCTTTCCGATTCGATTGGAAATTTCAATTGCAAATAATTGTTTAATTATCGTCAATTGCTTGTTCAGCTAAGGGAACTAATTTTTTAATGTATATATATTGTATATTGTATGTGTGAGTGAATGATTGAGCGAGCTGAAGTGCTGCAGATATAGCTGACTTCAAATAGCACCCCATTAAAGGGCAATAAAGCGTTGCGAGTCATAAACTCAGTGCTTGTATTTAGTTCAGCTGAATATCTGATAATTGAATGCGCCAAGATTATACGCATACGCAACGAATGTTGCAAACATCTATACACAAGCAGTAATCACTCAAACATACAAACATATACATGTAATTGTTGTATGTATTGTATGAGTCTGTGTTCGTAGGCAGCGTACATAAGCAATGCCTATTATAAAGAACAAAATGTAGTACAAGGTTGTACATAGCTACAAAATATATGCTACAAGGTCGTTAATACATACATACACACACATATATATATATATATATATTTGTACATATAGCATAATTGTATATATATTACATGTATAATGCAAGATGATTATTGCCTTTTTTCAAAGTTCACAGCTAATCTAAAATATTACAAGAATTACAGATAATCTTTGTATTGTATTAAACTTATATTTACTAGAAAACAGAAAAAAAATCCAGTTTAATATTCAACGTTGACTTTAAATTATACTTAAAGGCAAAAGTTTATAAGAACTCTCTTAAATTTAATATTTAAAACAAAAGTAATATTTCTAGATTGATATCTGTTATCTGATTCATAATTAAATTTAAAATTTCATACTCTAAGCAAAGAAAATCATGAATTCAATTCCTCGTCGTGGTCACTTTCCAAAAGCTCTACTCAAAACACTCGAACTTCAGTATAATTTCGCTCATTCGCACACATTCAGATATATATATATATATATATATACACACATAAATCTTTAGAGACATAGACCACTATATCATAATTTGCTGCACAAACTCCGCAACATGACAGCAAATCTGGCGACATGCGATATGCAATATGAGATATGTTGTGTTATTGGACATGGTTAGTGCGACACATCGCTGGGTCCGTGAACTGAGAGCGAGACACTTGAGTGGCTGCTTAGTGGCGGCAACGACTTTCACCAAACACTCACTGACAGCTCGAGCAAAAGGCAATTCCTAACCTACCACACCTCAAACACAAGGCACAAACAACAAAGCCAACTTAAGCGACAGCAAAATGGCAATAATCAAAACAAAAAGCGCAACACAAACCAATAAACGAGCGTAGACTTCATTATGGAGGCACATCAATCATTGCCAAACGCGAACTGGTAAGGAGGTAGGCTGGGGGGGGGTATGAGGGATCGTCCAAACACTGGGTTGAATGTGCCGAGAGCACAAGAGCTGAAATAAAGCACAGTTGCCATTTTGCCACAACGATGTGCAGATAGACGTTGCAAAGGAGAGGAGCGGCGAAAGAGAAAGACAAAGGGAGCTGGGCAGAAAGCGAAAGAAAGAGAGGGATGTGCAGCTGGAGCCAAGACAGTCAACGACTTGTGGTCAACGGGGAATGGGAGTACGGAAAATATGTGACGGTGGGACAAGGGGGCAAACATGTGCAGCAGAAGAAGGGCTCCTTCGGTGGCACAATAAAGTGTTTAGTAAACAAATTGCGGTTGCCTTTTGATAATATGCGCACAGTTAGCCGAGCCAGTTAAGCAGCGCAGCCAGCGACATTGTTGAAGAGGGGACGAAGACAGGAGGGGTTTGGGAGGATTGGGGGATAAGTTATAAGTGCATTGCACCGAAAAATCGATTGACGAAAGCCACAAAGACGTCAAGAGCTAGAGCGAGAAAGGTTGAGGTAGCTGCTGCTCATGTGAGAGAGCAGATGTGTGTGTGTGTGTGTGTGTGGGAGGGGGGGATGAAAAGGACATTGATTGTGTGCGCGGGGTGTTAAACGATTCGGGGCGTTGGCGCCATCGTCACGCAAAAATCCAAAGAGAAACCATAAACTTAAATTAATGACCTCAGTAGTCGAGGCGTAGCTGAAAGCCGAGACCGTTTGCAAGCAGAACGTAAAGTCAATAAGAGACCAAAAAAAGCTCGAAGATGAACACAAAGAGGAAGGCGATGAGGGAGAGAAGAGCGCCAGATGCACTGTTTTTGTGTATATATGTGATTTACCGTTAACAGTCGTTTCGTTTTGCTGCAGTTGCTCTGCTCCAATTGGAAATGAATCTGCTGGCGATTTCACTGCGATTCTCAATACACACAAACACACACACACACACAAATATACATGTATACATATATATATATACATATAGATGAAAATGCTTGTCAATTTGGAGCAAGGCGGCTGCTGAGGCAGATGGTCGAACGTTTGCTTAGAGCTCAGTTGAGAGGCTGGCTAAATGATTATGCAGCCGACGTCGGCGTTGACGTTGACGTCGACATGGCCGATTTGTTGTCAAACTGGTTTTACAAATATTTTTGCGTTCATCTGTTGCCAGCGGTGGGGTAAAGTCTCTCTGTGTGTGTGTGTCTGTATGTGTTTGTGTGTCTGTAACCAGGCGGCAGTTACATGGCTGCAACGCTCAGTGAAAGTCGCCTGAATGCCGTTGCTGTGTGATACCCTACTCCCCCTACCAGCGCACCCCACAGCACTCCTCACCACCCCTCAGAGCCCATTAGCTAGTTATGTAGCTGAGTGCACATTCAATTAGGTTTAGCGCAGTCTTTTGGCTTTGGTTACGGCTTGGGCCTGAGCTAACCCAGCTGTTCAGAGCTGGTATTTACAGCCAATTATGAGACAAACAAGTTGGCAATTGCGTCTAACTTACCCGTGCATTAAAATCGAAAAAGTATTCCGGCCTCAGCGGACACGGCAGGCCGCACTTGCAGGTACCCTGTGTTAGCAAATAGTCCTTAATTTGGAATTGTGTGCGCAGCGTTTTGCCCGTCGGACTGCAATAAGAAATAACCATAAAAATAATGAAAAATAAGTACAAAGTGAGTGAGTTACAGTGATGTATAATTAATTGATTGTTCGCTGCAATTAATTTCTATTCATTATTTATTAGTTAATCGCAACACAAATTGTTGTATGCTAATGGCAATTACAAAGTCGTCAAGAATAGCTTAAGTGTGTCTGGCCTTCGCCCTTCATCATTCCATCTACCTCACACACTTAGCCCCAATTAGTCCAATCCACGTTAACAGTTAACATAGTGCAAAGGCTGCTCGCTGTTTAGCTAACAGCTCATTAACATAATAGGTAAATGACGCGCTCGTCCGCATTAACATGACAATGTTAAACGACAGTTGGGAACGCATGCTGGCCTACTCATACCTACGCATACATGTGCACACCAATGCATGTGTGTGTATCTGTATGTGTTGTGTCTGTGGCTGTGTGCGTGTGTCTATACATACATAAATTAATACCAATCAGAATTGCTCGCTGCTCGTTTTGATCGCATGTCAAATAAGTGCGCGTCGCTCGGCGCATAATTCAAACTGGTTTTTATGTATTGTGTATTTTACAAGCAGTTTTCGCTCCTCTCCACGTGAGTTGCTAGCCAAGTGTTTGCTGGCTGTATGTGCGGAGCCCCTTCTCGTGCCACAATTGAGTCGCGTGATTTGATGATCCAGCTTGGCTAAATAAATTGAAACTACTTTTAACGATGGGGGCCAATATTCAGGTTGTAAAACAAACTTTTATGAGACTTCAGACACAAAACAAAACAAGGTTTGGACTGACTAATCACTCAACTGGCAAAATCAGTCGAGCTACAAATTTATTTCCGCAAAGGTTTCTCCCTTTTATGACATAAGATGGCTATAAAAAAAATGCATTCAAATAAATTGGAAAGCTGTGTTAAACAAGTTTTATGCTTTCTTCCGATTGATGTGAGTCGTAATTCGAAGATTTTTACCAAAATATGAATGGAAAATCAATGGGTAAAGTTCAATTTTCATTGGATTGCAACAAAATTAATTAATATGTGCTGTTAAAAGTTTAACAGAAAACAGGAACAGGAAATCTGATGCTCCTGAAAATGTGATTTTAAGCTCTATCTAGAAAAAATCATAATCTTATCGCTATCCCTGTTTTCGAAAATTGTCAGTCTTTTGTTATGCGCAATCTGAAATCAAGTTCTACTCGATTTGCAACATTTGCTAGTTGTTATTTAGGGTATTCAGTGGTTCACCCCGACCAACAAGAAAACCTCATTCGTAATCCGTTTTGCGCTCATTTCATGTTTACAACAATGAAATTTATGAAAAGGTAAGAAAAAAAAAATTGATTTAAATTTGAACAGCATTAAGAATATGCGCAGAACCAAAAAGCGAGTCCAGTGAATCCAGTTTTTTCAGTGAATTCATTTTTCGGCTCAGCGCTGCTGTCGAGCCCCCTCCTCGAGAACAGGGCCACGCATGACCGCAAATGTTGAAAAGTTGTACTCGGTATATGTTCTGCTGGGGTTAAAAACATGCCAAAAGCAGCATATAAAAAAAAAAAACAAAACAAAACAAAAGGCAAAAAAATTGACGCTGCTTATTAATTATAAAGTGTGAGCATGTTAAAAGAATCAAGGGCGCTGCTGATGATGACTGCGTCGTCGCGACGAGAGCAGCACTTGAGCTATATAGCCTGAGCATGAGAGACTTCAGAGCCTGGAACGTTGAATAGCAAATGATTTGGCGGCATAGTAGAACGAGGCGAGGCAGTTAGCAGTAGCAGGGGCACGGGCAGGGGCAGCACCAGAACTTCAACTCCTTCCTCTACAACTCGTGTGGGAAATCTGAATAATGCATAAAGTGTGAAAGCGGCAAGGGCACTAAACGAAACCAAACGAAACGAAGCGACAGCAGCAGTAGCAGCAGCAACAACTGCAAACAGAGACGACAATATACATAATTGAACGACAACAACAGCAACAACAAGAACAACAATCGTGCTACGGGCTAAGCGAGTCTGCGAGAATTGTCAATTGAGTAGCCCCTTTGTGACGGCAGCACAGGATGAGGTTGAGGATGGGCATGTGAGTTGGCATGGGCATGGGGATGAGGATGAGGAGTTGAGTTGTGTGTCCCATGGTCATTGAGCTGCAGCAGTTGGCACCCTGGTGCATTTCTCAGTTCTCATCAATGGGCCCCACAGCAAATTGCCAACTTAAAACTGAAAAACGAGTTTGGTTTATTAATTATTCTCAACTAGTTGCGTGGCCGTAAGCTAAAATCGATGGCAAAGTCAATTGGCCTGACTGAACGTGCGACGCACAGACCAATTACAAGCTGGGCGAGCGGAGGGTGGTTGGTTGGTTGGTTGGGAGTCATCAACGCCAAAGCTTATAGCTCAATTTGTATGCAGCTGGCGTAGCTGGTTGGCTTAAGGACCAACGATAACGACCACAAGGCGACCGCTTGTTGGGTTGCAGCAACAACATCACCAGCAGCACCAGCAGCAGCAGCAGCAGACGGCCGGGTTTGCTGCGCTGGCTCATTAAATATTTTATTTACACAAAATGCGCTAATAACAAGTGGGGGAAGGGGGGGTTGAGCGGAGCGCGGTCTGACGACTTCTCATGAAAGGCGTTGAGCTAACGAGTTAAAATAATTTAATAAATTTCACACACAAAGAGCGTCAAGTGGCCGAAGAGCCGCCCTCCTGCGCCTCTGTCTGAAGGTGGAAAAGTTTTACGCCTCTCTGACCTTGAGTGCACCCTCGAGCCAGCCCCGGAATGAGCCACACGGCACAACAGTCGAGGGCCGCCAGCTGACTGACTGTGCCAGCCTATTACTAAATTAATAAACCCTAACAACAGCTCAAACACAAAACCAACAGCAACAGCAATGGCAACGGCAACGGCAACGGCAACACCAACTGGGGACAAAGGGAAAGGAGCCAAAGTGTAATACATTTAGCAAGCCACAACGTCGAAATAAGCGAATGGGCTGGACGCGAAGTTGTTGTTTTTGTGGCCACGTTAAATGAAAGCAGTCGACTATTAAATCTGCAAAAGCCCCTTGCTAATCAAATTGCTTGGGTTAACCTTTACTGCTTAACCTTTTAGCATGAAATACCTGAGGCTATTGGCACTGCTAACATAAACCACTCTGGTACTAGCATATATTGCATATATAAATAACGTATGGAATGGATTTAAGGGACCAATGATCTTTCGTATTATATATTAGTAAATAAAAGTCTTATAACTGTTAAGAATAGCGACATAAACAATTTTCCAGCGTTTTTAAATAAAATTAAAATAAGTTAAATCAATAAATATCCAGTAATTATTGCAAAAACTATTGATTGAACACGTCACACAAGCAATTTATGTTTACCGCATCTTATTTCTAATGTCATATTAAAAATCAAAAATATTCAAAATTCAGTTTCAGCAAAGATGTTTTTCATAAATTAACCCGGCATGAACATAAAAACTTTAAGTGCGTCATATTAACATTTTTAAGAGCATAAAAAACGATTTAGTGGTCAAAATGATTAAGCATGCATCGTTATGGAGACATATCAAATTATACTTGAGCAATCAAATGTTTTATTTATGAAAATGATTTCCACATTTAAGTGGTGTGCGTTGCCAAAAAAAAAAACCAACGGAAACCTGCAGCAAACAAAACAAATGTCTAAGAGGTGCACAAAAGTCAACACGTTGTACACTCAACGGCGGATTGCAATGGAAAACTGCAGGCGGTTGACGAAGCCATCGACGAAGCCAGCGACAGCAACGGACCGCCGACTGTTGATGCAACCTACGCGCTGCAAGCAGGCATAGATACACCTTTGCACGTACACATGTCTGACAGAGAGACTGGTGAATGCGACTGTGACTGTGACTGGGCCTGTCGCACTTGAGGAAAATTGAAAACTCTACGACTGTCTGACTGGCTGACTGACTGTGCCAAACTATTCCGCATTCTTGAACAGTCAGTTTGCTCGTTGCCCGTTGCCGGCCTTGCGGGGCGCTCGACTCGCTCTTTTGAGTCGCCTCCATACCAGCTGCCGGTTCTAATTTATGATTTATGTGTGTGCGCACCGCCGTCGCCGCCTTTTTGGCTTTGCTGGCTTTACGGCGGCACAGTAGGCGGGCCAACGTTTTGACCTGGAAATGTGCATGTGTCACATTTGTGTCGTCCTCTGATGTCACGTTGCGCAGTCAACGACTTGAAAATGCTTGCGCAACAATTATTGATTTACCAAAACCCTCTCTTTCTCTCTCTCCCCACCCATTCATCCATCCTTGAAAGTAGTCGCAGTCGCTTTGAAATGATTGCAACATTCTTTCCAAGAAATAGCCAAGCCAAGCAAAACTGCGCAACTGCAGTTAAACAAAAAGTTGTATTCATTTTGCCATTAGGCCAACCCCTGCTCTGTCTGTTCAAAATTTGAACCCAGCAAATGTTTCTTATCTTTTCCGTCCAAATGGACGAAAGCTCACAAATTTGCAAGGGGAAAAAATACGCAAAAAAAACTAAAAAAAAAAAAAAAAAAAAACATAAAAGTAAATAAATAAAGCAGCAACACGGAATGTGGAAATGAGCAGCTGCAACAGCCGCTGCTTCCACTGCTGCGCTTAATGCGAACAATGACAAACGCTCGACACGCAACAGAAGCGGTTTAGCATTAAACAATGCTTGCTCAGATCGCATAAAGTGTCCTGAATGGGCAATGGCTAGGAACAGATAGCAAAATAATATTATTGAAAAATGTCACAATTGTCTGCAGTACAAAACATAAATCCAAATTGTATTCATACCAAATTTAAGCTCTGCGATGCTAAACGGGAATACGATGACAATCCACAAAAGCTGTATTTTTGTCAAAACTTGAAGACCTGTCCCCTGTTGGACAGTTACAGCTCAAGTTCTTATCGAATAGGAAAACACTATTTGAATACCATTTTCATAGCTCATAACGATTAAGATATATGTTGAATCATTATGATGTTTTCGTTTCGATTCGGGTTTTTCGGGGCAAATAAGATCAGTTCCGCAATGTTAGTTTTAAACAAATTTTGAATTTATGTTCTGATTCCGACTCTGAATTTCAATCGTTCCGATTCCAGAGAAGTATAGCAAAATCTATAACTAATAATCTACAAATTACTTTACAAAAATATCATTGCTATCTAGAAATTCACAGAAATTCATCTAGTTTTTTAGTTTCTGGGCAACAAGGTATCTTGTAGTCGAGCACACTCCACAAGAGCACGTTCACTTGTTACAGTAGCCTGTAGCCATTGCTTCTGAAGGCACTTAATGATTAAATCTGTCTTATTTCAATCCAATATATTTGTGTGCACTCTTTAGTGAGCATCTTTATCTTTTTTTCTTTGCTACAGCTAAGCCCCGCAAAAGCCAATAACAAGTCCAAAATGCCAGAGGCAAAGCCATGGCAGCCCGTCAAGTTCTGAGTTCCAGGCACTTACAGAATCAGCGATTATCCAGCTCTGATGACAACAGTGCGGCGCAGACACAGCACAGGCAAGCAACAAAATCGTAAACTATTTGCACAGCGCCAAAGACTCCCCTTCGCACCTCCATCCCTGCACCGCTGGCCTGGACAGTAGCGCGGTAGACGCAGAATAATTAAAAGTACTTGGGCAATGGGGCTCAGCAACGGCAACGACAACAGCAACAGCAACAGCAGTCTCTGGCTTGTTTTCAACATATTTGTGTAAATATTGTATTTGTGTTTGTAATTATGTCGGCTTGACGATAACTCGCAGATAATGCCCAGGTAAATACTCGCTGTGTACACAGCGCTGGCAAGAGAACAGGCAATAATGCCAAGCACTCGACTTTTAACTGTTTGACTTACGTTGTCATTATACCCTGTACCCATTGACAAATGCCAAAAACGGCCATATTGCAATTGTACTAGTAAACAGCAGAACAAATCCGAGTGTGAATTTAAAAAAAAAGAATTTGTAGGAATTGCTTCTTTTTTTTTAATTCGTAGGTCCACAACTCAGATGGATATCGTTTCGTTCAGAGAGCACTGTAGTGCTTGCTAGGCTGCTGGGGATACAAATCGGAATGAATCTGACAATGCATTTATGCCGAGATGACTACTGCAATTCAGAGTAAAACCAAGCCACCCACTCCCAATGTATGCCCATCTTAGCTGAGCTACCCCCTTTTTTAACTGGCATTTCCTGTTTAACAAGAAAACATTTAAATGGCTTCCAATATGCATTTACCAGACACAATACACAGATTGACTTTTAGCTGGGCCTGACTTGTAAATGTCATGTAAGAGAGCCAACGACAAAGAGTGTGAGAGAGGGAGAGAGAGAGAGAGATAGACAAGTAATGAAACTGAGATAGAGACAGAGACAGAGAGAGAGAGAGAGAGAGAGACTCACCTGATGTAGGCCACTTCATTGTTGTTGGTTAGTCGTCGCCAGCCTGGAGCCAAATTTGCATTGTTATTGCTGTTGCTGTTGTTGATGTTGTTGCCAGCATTATTGTTTTTGGCCAAATTCTTAGCATAGAGCTGCTGTTGCTGATGGTTCTGATTCATTTGACGCGTTGCAATTGTTGCTGGCATACAGTGCGTAGCAGCAACAGTTGCTGTTGCGACTGCTGCCGCTGCTGCTGCTGCTGCGGACTTTACAGGCAACTTGATTTGCGCTAAACGCTGTTTGGTTTGGTGCTGCTGCTGCTGTTGAAGTTGCTGCTGTTGCTGTTGGAGTTGCTGCTGCTGCTGTTGTTGCTGCTGTAGCTGCGTGCCTATTGCTGGACACACAAAAATGTGTTGACTGTGCCGCAGTTGTTGTTGTTGTTGCTGTTGTTGGTGCTGCTGCTGTACAGCAACATTTGTGGCTTGCATCATGTTGGCGCTGCCATTTACCAAACCAGCTGGTAATATCTGTTGCTGCTGTTGTTGTTGTTGTTGTGGTTGCATTGCGGCTGCATTTGTAACGACCCGCGATACAAATTTCGTTTGCTGCTGATAGAATTGCTGTTGCTGTTGCTGCAACAATTGCTGTTGCTGCTGCTGCTTGTACATGTTGAGCTGTTGCTGTTGCTGTTGCAACTCATTGTTGACCTGCAGCACGCCAGCAACCGTCTCCGCATTGCCAACACCAACAATGTTCAATTTATGCTGCGCCTGTTGTTGCTGCTGCTGCTGCTGCAGCTGTTGGCCAGCGGATGCGGCAGCCATGTTAATAACAGCCGCCGTTTAAATTGTAGCGCTCGATTTGTGGCCTGCAAATAATAATAGGCAGCGTTTAGTGTGCATTTAAAGGGAGAGCAATGCGACCTCAACAAAATACACGCATTCACACTTATATGCATATATACATATACACATATATATATATAGATATTATATATATTTGTACATATTTTGGGCTGACTCACAATTACATGCCTACAATTCGAATTGAGTTGCGTGTAAATATGTATGTTTATTTATATGTGCATGTGTCGACCATCTTCAAATACCATTGCTTTTGTTCTTTTACCTTATACTCTTGCAACGCGGGTATCTTGATATTGTCACAAGGAAAACTCCAGCCCTGTACAAAAGATCTCTTTTTATATGAATACCCTTTGCTTTGAGAAGATCTAATTAATAGCATTTACATCGGAATTTTCGTAATAATAAATTTGTTTGATTTTTTTCAGTATATTCAAATATTATAAAACTTCCGAAATAAATAAAATATAATGATGCTGTTCGTTTAAAAAACAAAACTTTGATCAATACAATAATATTGTATATACAAATTCATATATTGAAATTGATAGTTAATTATAATAAAAAACTTCATTGGTTTTTAGAGTGTGTTCATCAATCTCAATAATTACAAGTACTGTCGCATTGAGTTAATAATATTCAGTTGTTTCAAGGGTATTTGAATGTTCGACAACCAAAAACACAAATTGTTGTTCTTTCTTATTGTATTGTATTATCTACTGTTGTTGTTGTTGTTGTTGCTGCTCACCTTTTAGCGTAATTTACGTTTTGCTCATTTGCCAACATATTCAATTAATTTGAGTTATTGTGTAAACGAGACGCGAACATGTCAAATTGTTGTTGTGGTTGTTGCGACTGCTGCTGCTGCTGCTGTTGCTGTTGTCGCGCGTTTTTAAGCACTTAATTTCACTTTTTTTTACAACTTTTCTTGTTGTAATAAGACGACAACGACTTTTGTATTGTTGTCTTGCTGCTGATTTTCTTGTTGTTGTTGCTGCTGCTGTTGCTTTTTATACAATCTGCTTGCTGCTCATGACTTCATTTGGAATTCAGAAAACGAACGTTGCTCGCTGACAGAGGCAGAGGCACAGGCAGAGACACAGGCAGAGAGAGAGAGAGAAGAGCGCACAACGCATAAATGTAGGTGAATGGAGCATGAAGCAGCCGCCGACGTCGCAGTCGCAGTCGCCAGCAGCACAGACAATAACGACAAAGGCTAAAGAGTAGACGAGGTAGGATGGAATGGTGTGGGGTGGGGTGGGGTGCGGAGGTAGAGCAACGTTCAAACTCAACGAATCGTTTTGTTTTATGTACAAAAATTTGTTCAGCCTAAATACTTATTATGCGCGTAAAGCAGAACAATTTGCCAGACGCGACTCTTGCTTGTTGTTATTATTATTTTTATTATTATTGTTGTTGTTGTCACTTTTTAATGTGTGTATGTGGATAAATTGCTGAATATCCATGTTGTGCATGCATTTAAATGATATGCACATAATTAATGCGTGCGACTGTCTGTCTGCCTGCCTGTCTGCTCATGTGTGGACATCACCTGCCCTCGAGTTATGCTCTAATGATCATAATAAGAATACAGCCAACAGAAACAAGCGTACACAACACACACTCACACACACACACGCAGACGCACACACATATGCACTCGCACACACAATTATAATACGTAGAGTGACCTCAAATGCTTATCTGCATTTAACATGCGCTTTTTTCTTTTTTTTTTGGCAGCTGCTGCACTTACTTCACACACACACTCATATAATATACAAATAAATATATATATATATATACGCATACACACATTCAATTGGTTGTGTGTATTGAAGAGCAAGTTATGAGCATATTTGAAATGAGTTTTGACACAACGTTGATTTAACTTTATTATGCACAAACAGCAATTAAATGGGAATTAATTACAACGATTTCATTCGTTGGCTTTGGCTTTATTCACGCAACATTCGACAAACATCCGAGCGAACAACGATTCGACGATTCGACACTCGACTCGCGATTTTCTACTCTCGCACACGAAATTTTTACTCAACTATGGATTTTTTATTTTTTTTTGTTTTTGTTCACCTTGAAGGGTGCCAAGTGCGCTCGTATTGAAGCATAAGCTTTGATTTTCAGAACCATTTACGAATCTAAATTATGCTAACTACTTCACTTTTGCCTGTGCGCGCATTTGTTTTTGGAATTTTTCGACTGCCCAAAATTCCATTCACTAGTAGAAACTAGGGATGTGAAAAGCACACACACACATCGATATCATAAACACGACTATAATCAAACACATTCCTGGCAATACTATCGATATGACATTAATGATACGTTGCTCGTTTAGCGCTTACGTTACGCTTACGTGAGCTACGTTTCAAGTTACGTGCTATGAAATGTTAACTGACATTTAGACATCAATTATAATATGATGTTTTTCTCATGTTTACTCAATAATTTTTAACTAGATACAAATAATAATCAAGAATTAATACTACTAGAAGTGTCACACGAATTCCTGCCTTCGGATTGGATTTAGATGTAGATTGTCAGCAAAAACATTTACACAAATATAAACAATATTGTTAAGCAAATCAATTAGTAAACCAATGAAAAATCGTTTAAATTTGATTCTATGAAATTTAAATTTAACATGCGATTTCTACACATTGTAAATGTGCATACGATTCAGGTCTATCGGTATCGATTGCAGCCCTGACATGTGTAACAACAATGCGCGCGTAGCCGGCAAATACATTTTAAGAACTTTTAACTCCAATTGTGTCTTGATTGAGGATTCATTTGGTAGAATATACTAATTGGTGTTGTTAGAAGACCGTAACAATGTCCAGCGCGGCCATATTGATGTGCAGACAGCTGCTGTTTAGCCGTTGCATTCACGCCGGCCTCCTCAGCGTGGGCGTTCAGCTTGTGATGCTGATCACACTTTTATTGTGCGTCAACTTTCAACTTTGGCATCCGCTGGATTGGGCGGCTGACTCTCTGCGACAGGTGTGCAGCTGCTATCCATGGCTCGCGAGCATGCCGCTCATTGTCGCCGTCGCCTTCTACGTGATCACACTCTCCAAGCAGCGCCTCTCGGAGCGTCGCTATTGCCCCACACGCTACCGCTGGCTGATCCACCATGGACCACGTAAGCTTCTGTTCCTCATCGCCCATGTGTTCGTCGGCTATCTGACTGCCTGGCTATATACGACATATCTGCACACGGATTATCGGTATATCATCCACATATATGCATCCATATATCTGATACTAAAACCCACCGTTTATTTCATTTAGTCACTTGGTGTACAAATCCTTTGGACAGGACTGCCTGAATAGCTACCATGTGTTCTTGCTGGGCATGGGCATTACCAGCGGCTGTTATTATTTTGCCGCCAACTATATGCGTCAAGAGGTGGCCATGGAGTTCCCCATTATTGAACAGAAGCGCATCGAGAATCTGCGCGGGGTGCTATACGAAACCCTGCTAAAATCTCCACTTAAATCTTTGTGGGTCACGTTGGTCTATTCGATTGGCTTCTGGCTATTTGGTGGTTTGGTGCGGCACAGACTGACTCATCTGATTGGTGTGGACGCAGACGATCGCCTCCTGGGCATCTTGGACGTGGCCAGCAATGGACGACTGCTGTTCTATGCCTGGCTGCTAACCACTCAAATCGTGAGCAACATGCATCTCATGCAGCGCTTTAATCATGTGCTCCTATCCGAGCGGCTGCCGCTGGTCATTGCCCGCAGCCGGATGTCGGCCAATGCCAGTGAACAGGAGCTAACCGTGGCTTCCGTGCTGGGGCTCTTCGATATGTATGTGGCTCAGTGTTTGGCCGCCAGGTTTCTGTACGAGCATGCGCTGTGCAACAATTCGACAATTCGCCTGGAAATCTTTCAGCTTACGGAACCCGGCAATCATCCAGCCAATTGGCGTGCGCTATGCGACCAATGTCTCAGCATTGTAGCCACTTTTACTGAAGAGTTAATCGAATCCATGCAACACATCAGTTTGATTAAGGGCAACGAATCACATCTGGCAACGACTGCAGCGTTCATCGACAAAAAGGGTCCATTGCGAACTGAAAAGCTGCTGATCCGCCAATACAATCAGTTGCATGGCATTCGTCCGGCTAGCGCTGAGCCCACCCAGCAATGGGATGCCACGGACAGTGTACGCCACGTGCCCAATCGGTGCGAACGCGCCTTTATCAAGCTGGAGACAATGTTTCTGGGGCTTTTGCCACGCCTACCAGGCATCGTGTACCTCTTTGCCGAGTCGGATGGGGCCAAGACGGTGTTTCTAGTGGACAATGCGCTGCACGTGATCTGGCTGACACAGGCGCTGGCACATCTATGCGTCGCATCGATAAAACAGGATCGCTATGGCGTTGTCCAGGATGACTTGACGGCTATCATCAGGGCGCTGCACCGCCTCAAATGCGAACTGGACAAGCTGCACAGCGCGTTGCCCAGTTTGCGACCGAGCCACAGCAGCAACTACATTGTTCTGCGCGGCGCAATCCGTCGCAGTCTTTACAACATCTGCATATCGTTCCATGACTATCTGGGCGAAGTGATTCCCAATGGCGAGGAGCTGCGCCAGCTGCAGGCCTTTATCTGTCACGGATAGCAACTCACCCAACTCATCATCATCGACTAAGCACATATGTTAAGCATCCTTCTTTAGTTGTTCTTTCGTTTTGGTAACAATACAAATTAATAAATACAATTACATCATGTACAAATGACTTTTTACCTAACTATATGGTATCTGGTATTAAACATATACATAAATTAATTTGTTACATCTCAAGCAGTAATCAGCTCCAGATCCGCCTATTGCTCCTCTAATGCCACCGCGTACATCAGCAGCGCCACATTCTGCTCTAGTTCACGGACTCGTCATTGCTTTGCTGCTGCAGTTGCTGCCGCTGGCGCCTCGATTTTTTTCACAGCCTCGCCCAGTGATCTCTCCAGCTCGATGGCCAGCTCCTCCATCTGCTGCTGCGCCTGTTTGCCCTTTCGATCGCGGCCATCAATAAAAATTTGTGTTTGCAGAAAGTTGAGGGCACGAAATGCCATACCGCCTGTGGGGTCATAGAAACCCTCGTAGGTTTTTGGATTTCTAGCGCTGGCACTCTGATCGGGCGTATCGGGGTCAAATGGTACATACTCTTGCAGCGGCTCGTTGTGCCATCGGAATATGTTACGCGAATCTAATCACATAAAGTGGGTAAATTCATGGACATAAATATAGAGAGCTTTAAGAGAACACACCTAGATCCGCCAGAACGCGTGTCATTTCACGTATCTGCGCATCCTGACGCTCCAGACGAAAGTTCATTTCCGTCAGTGTGTTGGTCAGACGCATCTGTTCCATTTGCATGGCCTCGTTCTTTTTGGACTCCTTGATGCTTTGACGGGAGTACTCGAATATTAAAAGGCCGGCACCAATGGAAAAGATAATGAATTCGCCCAACAGATTGGCGCCCAGCTCAATGGCCATGGCTTCGGTTAGGGGCGGCACTGTAACTGGGCGGCCAAGATTCAGCGCCCACATCTTGGTCTTGACCTCCACCCAATTGTAAACTGTGTCGGCAGGCGAAATGTATTTAATTATTTGAATCATCGTCAAAATGCCAAAAGGAATTCGACTTACACTGCGCCGGCGGTATGCATATGTATTTCCTGAAGAATGGACTCGACTTGGCATTGGATTTCAGCACATTAGCAATGGGCTTGCTAATCTGTTTGATGGCCAGCGCACCAAGCTTGGCAGCGGGAAACACTCCAATAACCATCTCTTAAGCTGTTTTGTATTACAAAACCTCAGCACGGAAAAACTAAGGCAACCAGGGCTGGCGACAAATAAAAGCAATCGAACAGCTGTTTTTTTCAGCGTGGACGATAGACGATATGTGCACTACTTGAAAATATTCAAAGTTAATAAAATGTATGTATATGTATATACCTATTAAGTTTTATGATGAACCCTTCCGTTGTATTCAGTTAATTGGTGGTGCATTATTTGTATTTGTTTTTCCTGCCAGTCAAGCTGATGGATTAGCTCAGAGATATCCGATTGTAGCCTCTCTTCTTTAATTTTGAGATTGACATTTTTCTTCTGATCCTTGATAGCTTGCCTTTAACATTAATACATCAACTTTTACATTTTTTTTTTCCTATCGTCATACACTTTTGTGTTCGCTTACCTTGAGACCTCGTAAAATATCAGAGATAGGCCTAACAGAATCACAAAAAGCTCGCTTAAAATGTTTGCGCCCATCTCAGTGGCGTTTTTTTCTGGGAGGCGAGGAATCCGTTTGGGTTGCGGAAGTCCCAACATTTTTATTTTACATCTTGTCTCCAAAGAGTTTAGCAATTGACCAGCCGGAGCGCAAATATAATTTTTAAATAATAAGTTACGTTTCGCAATCTGTTTGAACCCTAGGCTAAGCGGAGTGGTAATTTGCTTAATGCCCAAAACGGCTATTTTTCCAATAGGAAATACACCGATTACCATGTTTTTTTAACAGAAAATTTTCAGAAAGCCAGCTGAATACGTATTTTGTTGGGTTTTGGCAATAAATGCAAAGTCACACAAAATAAAAAAAACACGGTTTATTTGTGCATATGACAATAAATCTTATTCATACACTTGCCAATTGAATTATTAACAAAAAATCTATTGGATAAGGTATTTACACATATTTACTTGGTGTTTATACGTTTTTAATTCAGAACCCTATGCAATTGATACAACTTGGCTTTAAGACTATAAATTTCATTAGTCTGAGCCATAACACGATCTTGCAATACTTCAATCTCTTTTATCAGTTTTTCCTTCTCTTCCTTTTGTTTATTATTTTTAATCTGATCATTTTTCGATTGGCTAAATAAACAACATGTATTATTAGTTAGCACCTTGACAGATTGGTATTGGCTTATTTACCGTAAAAACTCCAGTGAAATCAAGCTGGCACAAACTGTAAATAGGCATATCTCACCGATTAGGTTACTGCCAGTCTCAATAGCCATGGATTTGTTTAATGGTGGCACATACTTCGGTTGGCTCATGCCTATCATCCACATTTTAGATCTTACCCCAATCCAATGGTAGGCTAAGGTTCAGACCCTTCTCTAATTCATAATATTACACTTAAATAAGTTTGATGCTACTTACTTTGCGCTATTGGATTAACTAGATATGCTCTAAATGTTTGATTTGTTTCGGCAGTTTGCTTAATTACTTTGACAATGGGTTTACTTATTTGCCTGACAGCTAGCATACCTAGTTTTGCAAGAGGAAATGAAACCATGGTAAAACTTACAATTTGTGTTCAACAATGACTGTTACAACAATTAGTGAAGGAAAAGTCGATACACTCTTGCAATATAATATATATCCATCCGACACAGTATTGATTGCATTTACTATATTTAAATCAATACATAAATATATATATGTACATATATATATGTCATTAAAAAAACATTGCAAGTTATTTTACAGTTGTGCAAGCAAAATGTACAATTTGAAATGGCAGTGTCGCAAAGAAAACAAGCTTGAGCTATAAAAGTGCCGATAATTTATTACGACTTATCGTTCAAGATATCGGAGCTGTCAGTTCCGTTTCGATTATACGAATCTAACATCCCTAGTTCTTTAGTTTTGGACACTTGAATTGAGTCGAGAGCGGCATGCAGTGTGGTTTTACAATTTTATGAGAAAAATTAGACAAAAAAAGAAATCGACAAAAAATGGCGAATATTAATAACTTAAGCCTGAGTCCGGACGGATACTGTGTGTTTTGTTCAACGAAAACAAATCTCGTTTGCCATCGCTGTGGCGACTTCTATTGCACAAAAATATGCCAGCTGAAGGATTGGCCTAGTCATCGGTATATATGCTTCTCAATTCCAGCCTTGGTGCGTCCCAAGGGGTGCTCTGTCTTTTCCAATATCAATTCCACATATGCGCTAATTTCCTCTGACGCAGCTGCCCCAAGCAGCCTCGCTGCAGCAAATGCGCAGTCAGCTCAAAAATCGAATATTGAACTTGCCACAAACGGAACTGTGTCAGAATGCGATAAGAGCAAAATCAACAGAAATACAGTGATGAATAATACGTCTGCCACTCAGCCACCAATACCAATTGGTGATAATAAGAATAACAACAACAGCAGCTCAAATAACATTACTTCAAAGGAAATTCCATTCAAACCCACTTATGCCCATGTGGCCATGCCTCTAAATAATAGCATTGTTTATGTCACTGGATTTCGATGGCCGAATCGCTGTTTTATACGCGACGCCAGCGAAACTGCTGAGAAAGCTCATTTGGAAATTTGTCAGAAGGTATGTGTGTGTAGATGCCACAATCCTTGTGGCATCTTTAATGAGTTGATTTTTCATATATGCATGCATGTATTTTCGATATAAATATGAAATTATTTCTGATCATTTGTTAAAAACATTTACTAATGTATAACTTATGCTAGGTGAATTTATTAGGCAAGAATCAGCCAAAATTGAAGAAATTAATCCCTGGTGGCCTCGCGCTGGCCAAATACAATGGGCTCTTCCAGCGCGTTAAAATTGTGGGTAAACCTTATTCAACTAGTCGACTTCACTTCATCGATCTAGGCATGATGAATGCTTCAAATATAGCTGAAATGCGCGAGATTAGTAGCGAACTCTTGGAGCTGCCTTGCCACAACTTGGAGGTGCAGATAAAGGATGTGTCCAACAATAAACTTACCGAACACATCAACAATTTTCTCAAGCATTTCGATGGTAAAAAATTTATACTAACCAATATCAATGGCTGGAATGTTGAACTGCTGCATGTAGAGACGCATAAATCGATGAATGAACAAATACGCGATTTCTGTTCGAATGCACAGGCTTATAGTACACATTCTACGAAACCCACACAGCATACCAAGAACAATCCTGATCCCAAAAGGGCTGCTGATGTAACAGAAATATCCGTTGATCCGTACCTAAATTCGGCTGAACACAAACCTGAAATGATAATGGATCGCACTACTGTTGCCAACCATGCGCAGATTGCCAAAACAGAAAGGATGTCAGAAGTTATTGAAATCAAATTGGATAAAGAATCAATAAGATCTGAAACGAAGCCCAAAGCGAGTGTGCCATTTAATAATTCGAATAAAATCAAATCAGAAATAGCAAACTTGCAACTTATGTTGAAAAAGGCCAAACACGAGCAGATTGCCAAAACCGAAAATATCTCAAATGCCAATGAAATCAAATTGGATAAAGAATCAAGAAGCTCAGAAATAACCAATTTGCAACTTATGTTGAAAAAGGATCAAACTACTGTGGCCAGCAACGAGCAGACTTCTAAAACACAAAATATCGCAGATGCCAATAAAATCAAATTAGATAAAGAATCAATAAGCTCTGAAATAACCAATTTGCAAAAGGATCAAACTACTGTGGCCAGCAACGAGCAGACTTCTAAAACAGAAAATATCGCAGATGCCAATGAAATCAAATTGGATAAACAATTAATAAGCTCTGAAACGAAGCCCAAAGCGAGTGTGCCGTTTAATAATTCGATTAAAAGCAAATCAGAAATAGAAAATTTGCAACTTCTGTTAACAAAGGCCAAACACGAGCAGATTGCCAAAACAGAAAATATCTCAAATGCCAATGAAATCAAATTGGATAAAGAATCAAGAAGCTCAGAAATAACCAATTTGCAACTTATGTTGAAAAATGATCAAACTACTGTGGCCAGCAACGAGCAGACTTCTAAAACACAAAATATCGCAGATGCCAATAAAATCAAATTAGATAAAGAATCAATAAGCTCTGAAATATCCAATTTGCAAAAGGATCAAACTACTGTGGCCAGCAACGAGCAGACTTCTAAAACAGGAAATATCGCAGATGCCAATAAAATCAAATTGGATAATGAATCAATAAGCTCTGAATCGAAGCCCAAAGCGAATGGGCTATTAAATTTGGGTGCCATTGAAACTATTCCAACTTCAGTTTTAGCACGAGAAGCAACCTCTAGAGTTCAGGCTGAAACAAAGAAAAGTCCAGCAAAAGCATTTGTTTCTATGCCTCCTGTTACGCCAATTATTGTAAGCGAACCGAAAATCCCCACAAATAATACGACTAAACCTGATGTGGAACCTGTATTAATTCCAGTACGTAGCCTTATATCAAATGTCAAATCGTTCAAATACCATTTAAAATTTGTATCTTCAGCCCTTTGAATTTAAGCGCCTCACCAGCCAATCTAATGGGGGACTCGATATTTTCATTGTGGATAATGCGAACGTTTCACGAGGCATCTTTGGCAGTTTCGACAGCAATAATGCACGCGACTTCTCCGATCTGCATTCTCGCTTGTCCGAATTCAAGGACTCACAGCCCTACAGACCGATGTAAGTGGATTAAAGTCAAATTTGAAATATATTATTCTACTGTATATTGTAGGATAAGGGAATACGTTATTGCAAAATTTGAAGATGTTTGGTATCGTGCCCGAGTGATCAGAATAATACAAAATCAGCTAGATTGTACATACAACGTAATGTTTCTGGACTTTACCAATGTGGCCTTTGTCACCGAGCAGGACATTCGCCGTTATCCAGCTGACTTGACAGTGCCCTGCTTTACCAGCGTTTGCCTGATTGAAGGTAAATTGATTATAATGAATTATGGTAATACAAATATTTTAAACATAATTCTCAGACATGCCACATCGACCGACTACGGACCAGATCAACTTTTTGGAAAAAAAACTGCAAATGAACAGCCTTTTGCACATTGATAGTGTTAACTATAGACCACATACCGATATCGCCTTGATTAAGTGCGATAGCTTGATAGAAGGACTTGCTAAAATGATGTGATACAGTTCCCTTTTCACTTGAGGTTTTAATGTCTTTTTGATTTGAAACAGTTAACATTTATTGTGACTAATGTAATTGCACCTCCAACTAATTATGACAATATGCAATTTCGATTTTGTACAAGTTTTTATACAAATGTTGTAGATAATATTTGCTAATAAATTCGGATTCTAATAGGTATCAATCATAATAACATGCATTTTCAAATATCGATAGTTGAAACGTACCGCCACAACTACTACAATATATCGATAAAAAGACATGCATTTCGATATCGAATTTCTTTAAACTTTCTGTTTTGGCGTATCGAAAAAAGTTCTTAGTCGCAAAACAGATCGCCCGCAACTCGCAACTCGTAATCTGTGTTTGGTGTATTCCCAGCCTGTGCATTTAAAATAAATTTATTCCAAAACAGGAGTAACAATACATCTATACCCAATCGTTACTTTTCATACTCAGTGAAGGTAAATATATACATTTTTAAGTTGTCTATTATCATACTGCATAAGTACACCTAGTGAATACATACAAGTCATCCATGAAGAATGATGACTTCAGTGCGTAACTGTAAGTGCTCGTTTCGCAAATATGGTAACATTGTTGTTTTTTTTTTTTTGTTGATGATGGAAGCGATTTGCCCACACCGTGAGAATAGAACAATCCAGTCACTTTTATACATACATACGTATAGCAGTACACACACACACTTGTGCGGCCGGTTAATACGCGGGTAAAAAAGATGTAAAGGTGAAATAGAAGTCATTCCATACAAAAGCTTGTCCACATATAAAGCAAACACGCCATAAGAAAATGCAATAGTAATCACCAAGTGCTATATATATATATATAAATATATAAATATATATTTAAATCAAATCGAAATTATTATCGCAATTACATTTGAAGAACAAAAAAATGAACGCAAACACATACAAAATGTATTTTTGCTTATAAAATTGAGGACGTCCAACAACGTGTTGATATGCTTTACAATGCTAATGATAATTCGCCGGCTTTTTTCTTGAAATTGCATGCTTTTTGCTTGATTTTTTTAATGGAATGCATATTTTGGTTTACTATTCCAAAATATTGTGACAATAACCTTCGTGCAAGGTTCAAGGGCAGAGACTAACAGCCTTTGGAAATGGATAAAAGCGCAAGCACTTTCACCTAAAGAGAACTTTTGGTTGTTGTTATCTAGATTAGGAAAAGCACTCGAAGCAAAAGCTTTGCCGCCGCTCTTGTGTCTGTCACAAGGTAGGCACCCCCGCAGCTGGCGTCGAACGCATTCTCTTCGTGTGAAAGGCGTGAGAGTGAATGAGTGAGCATGCGTGCTGTACGCCTCTCTTTTCTGCACTGAGATTAAAATACCCTTTCAAATTGTATTCCCATTATGTGACGAACTGTGGACATATCTTAGATCCTCATATACTCATATGTTGTTCTATTCTTCTATTTGAATGCCGGCGAGTAGCTCAAGATAATTTGGCAAAACGTATCAGTTGAAAGATTAATTGTACTCTTTGAATTAGAGGGTATTTAATTATCGACAACCCCAAAGATAACAAGATTTCAAGGTTCCACACGTCATTGTCGGCGTCTTGCTGTGTGTTTTTAAAAGCTGATAATTAGAAAATGTATTACGCATACGTACGTATATATATATATATATATATATATATATATATATATATATTCTTCAACAAACAGCTGACGATCAGTGTTTTTTTGTTTACACTGGCAACAGTCCCAAGATTTGTTGAACTCATTTGCGAAACCGACTGAGTTAATCGCAATATTCATGCTAGGCAGGCAACGGCAGCGACAGATAACTCCCAAGCTTTCCGCACAGTTTTTCGATAAATTTTTGTCGTAATGTCTCTCATCATTATCGTGCTTGGGTGGCTTTTAGGGGTGGCCTGTTGCCGCTGACGGACTCTTTTCTGTTTGCCGTTCTCTTTCTCTGTTCATTTTTTTCCCCGTTTTCAACAGAGTCTCGTGGTTTTGCTCTCATTTGTTCATTGCATTACCGATATTCTGAATGCCTTGCCAAAATTTTCCACCAAAACTCGCAGTGAACGGCAGTCGAGCATTGTGTGCTGTTGTGTGAAAAACCCCAGTGTGCTTAGGTTTTCAACGCAAAAATTCTTGCCGTGCAACGCTTCGCAACTCACTGTTTTGTGCATATCCGTATCCGTGTCGGTCAATATTCTAAATATAATTCTCGTAACTTGTACAGCCTTCAGCAATTAGGCAACAAAATGGTTAACGTATCCATTTATGACGAGGCTCCGACGCTAAAGGTAAAATCCAGCCAGCCGGGGTATACAGCCCACTGTCAAAGTCAATGTCAAATTTATTGCGCTAAATATCTATGAAGATATTTATATGTAGTCACTCAATGTACCTCACATCAAGTCTATATGAAAACTGTAGAAGTTTTCTTTACATTTTGCTTCTTTGCGAAAATGATAATTATGCAACGGTTTTTTTTGAGCTTTTTGCTGCAATTGCATATTCTGTGACCTTCGACGTTGCAGCGCAGTTGCCGATGCGAAAATCTTTCCTATCTATCAGTCTTTCATCAGAACATATGTAGTTCTCCCACTCTCGCTCTCTTTGGCTTATTCTCCTCTCTCGTGCGTTTGGGTTTCAGCTCATGTGCTCACTCTGTTTACCTTATGTGGGAGTGGGTTGGATATATCGATATAATAAACCATAAACCGCTGAAGCCAACAATTGTTATTTTTTTTTTGTTTTTTCTTTTAGTTTTTTTGTTTTGGTTGTCCACCTCATTAACAATGATAATTATTTTTGGCAATTGGCAATCGTATGCTACATAATAATCTATTCAATTTTTATCGCAGCCCAACGAAGTACCGCAAAACATGGCTGCCGGAGCTGATACCCAATTGGAACACATGTGCCGCCTGCAGTTCGACTCGCCCGTTCCCCATGTGCGTCTGTCCGGCATTGTGTGCACCATTGGCCCCGCATCGCGCAGCGTCGAGATGTTGGAGAAGATGATTGCCACCGGCATGAATGTGGCCCGTATGAATTTTTCGCACGGATCGCACGAATATCACGCCGAGACAGTGGCCAATGTGCGTACGGCTGTCAAGAACTATTCGGCCAAGTTGGGCTACGAGCATCCCGTTGCCATTGCTTTGGATACCAAGGGTCCTGAAATCCGTACTGGTCTCATTGCCGGCAGCGGTACAGCTGAGATTGATCTAAAGAAGGGCGATACCATCAAGTTGTCCACCAACAAGGATTTCCTTGAGAATGGCTCCCCGGAGGTAATCTATGTGGACTATGTGAACATCGTCAACGTTGTTAAACCGGGCAATCGTGTCTTTGTCGACGATGGTCTCATCTCGCTGGTGGTGCGCGAAGTAAGCAAGGACACCGTTGTCTGCGAGGTGGAGAACGGTGGTGCACTCGGCTCCCGCAAGGGTGTCAATCTGCCCGGCGTCCCCGTCGATTTGCCCGCTGTGTCCGAGAAGGACAAGTCTGACTTGCTCTTCGGCGTAGAACAGGATGTGGACATGGTCTTTGCTTCTTTCATTCGCAATGCTGCCGCTCTGACAGAAATTCGCAATGTGCTGGGCGAGAAGGGCAAGAACATCAAGATCATCTCCAAGATTGAGAACCAACAGGGCATGCACAATCTGGACGAAATTATTGAGGCTGGTGATGGCATCATGGTTGCCCGTGGTGATCTGGGCATTGAGATACCCGCCGAGAAGGTGTTCCTCGCTCAGAAGGCAATGATTGCACGTTGCAACAAGGCTGGCAAACCAGTTATTTGCGCCACCCAGATGCTGGAGTCCATGGTGAAGAAGCCGCGTCCCACGCGTGCCGAAATCTCTGATGTGGCCAATGCAGTGCTCGATGGCGCCGACTGTGTCATGTTGTCTGGCGAGACAGCCAAGGGCGAATATCCGCTGGAGTGTGTGCTGACCATGGCCAAGACCTGCAAGGAGGCTGAAGCTGCTCTGTGGCATCAGAATCTGTTTACCGATTTAGTTCGTGGCGCCTCTGCAAATACTTTGGATGCTCCACATGCGGCGGCAATTGCTGCCGTCGAGGCGGCCAACAAAGCCAAGGCAGCTGCCATTGTGGTGATCACCACCAGCGGCAAGTCCGCCTTCCTGGTGAGCAAATATCGCCCACGTTGCCCCATTATTGCCGTTACGCGTTTCCCGCAAACCGCTCGTCAGGCTCACCTGTACCGTGGCCTGGTTCCACTCATTTACAAGGGTAAGTCACATCTCAACTGCTACAGCTCATGGGCATCATTTAATAAGTAATCGAATTTTTGCAGAAGCTGCTCAGCCCGATTGGCTGAAGGATGTCGATTTGCGTGTCCAGTTCGGTTTGCAGGTGGGCAAGAAGAACGGCTTCATCAAAACTGGGGATTCTGTTGTCATTGTTACCGGCTGGAAGCAGGGATCCGGCTTCACCAACACCATTCGTATTGTGTAAGTAATCTAAATAAAGAGAGAGAGAGAGAGAGATCTGACTAATCTAGTATTACATCTTACAGAACCGTCGAATAAACCTGATCGCTGTACCGCAGTGAAAGCGTTCTAAGCGCTTTATGCTTGCATCAATTATTGTTATTAACCAAGTTAATTTATTACAAAATTCTCAACAAAATATATACGGACTATCAGTAAATCGAAATTGGAAACATCTAACCGCTGCCAAAGCGCCACAGTTGGAGCTCCCAGGCGTGGGGCCCTTAACACAAACACACACATAAAGAAATAATGTATCATTGTTAAACATAGCGTTCTTTATAGCAACAAGGAATAATAAAAACTAATCCATATATGTATACAAATAAATAAGCGTTAGACACATTTGTGCGAGTCGGGTGCATATTTATGAAATTTGATTAGATTTCTCGAAATATAGTATTGGTTTTAAGTTCAAATTAATTTGTCAGGCCTTACAAAATTTGTAATCGTATTAATTTTCGTTATTGGCTGAAAAAATCGCTAATCATGACGTACATTGTGCGGAGTGCATGTCGTTTGTCACCATGGATGGTGCCTCGAGATACCGCTAGCTACTCTAAGAATGCCAAAATTGTGAGCGACCTGCTTGTTGTGTAATCTTTTGTGTATTGTATATATGTTAACTGACCAAACATGCAGGCCTCACAACCGGTGGTGCAGCTTGATCGTGGTCCCTTTGCCTCACAATTGGACTACAAATCCCGATTGCAGTTTAATGCGCCCACCTTAGATTATGCGCTGAGCGGAATCATTTGCACAATTGGTCCTGCTACCAATAAGCCGGAGACAATCGTGAAGCTAATCGAGGCAGGGATGCGAGTGGTGCGCCTAAATTTCTCGCACGGAACGCACGAATACCACTGCAGGACGATACAAGCGGCGCGCAAGGCTATCGATTGCTATACGCATAAGATGGGGGTGCACAAGCCAGTGGCCATTGCATTGGACACCAAGGGGCCAGAGATACGCACAGGTCAAAATGAGGGCAGCGATACGGCTATAATTGTACTCAAGCGGGGCGATAAAATCAAGTTAACTACCGATAAGAGCGTGGAGAACAAAGGCAACAAGAACATGATATACGTTGACTATGAAAAACTCAGCCTGATTATTAAGCCGGAAAATATAATATACATCGACGACGGACTTATATCAATGCGGGTGCTGCAAGTCACCGGCAACCAGATTGTCTGCGAGGTGGTGAATGGCGGAAAACTCGGTTCGCGCAAAGGTGTTAATTTGCCTGGTACACCCGTTGATTTGCCCAGCATTTCAGAGAGAGATAAATTGGATCTGAAGTTTGGCGTTGAGCAAGATGTGGACATGATCTTTACCTCTTTCATTCGTGACGCTACGGCCATCGATGAAATTCGTAAAATTCTGGGGACCGTTGGAAAGCATATAAAGATCATATCAAAAATTGAGAACCAACAGGGTCTGCAAAATATTGACAGCATCATCGCCGCTTCAGATGGTGTTATGGTGGCTCGTGGTGATCTTGGAATCGAAATTTCCACCGAGCAAGTCGTACTGGCCCAAAAATGCATAATTGCGAAATGTAACAAGATGGGCAAGCCAGTTATCTGTGCCACCCAGATGCTAGCTTCCATGGAGGATAATCCGCGACCAACTCGATCCGAGGCTTCAGATGTTGGCAATGCCATATTCGATGGCGCCGACTGTGTAATGCTGTCCGGTGAAACAGCCAAGGGCATGTATCCCGTGGAGTGCGTCAGATGCATGACGGATCTATGTTCAAAGGTTGAGTCTGTCCTATGGTACGAGCAGATGCAAAATGAGATGAAGACCGTGGTACAGTCATCAACGTCAGATAACTTATCGGCGATTACTTTGGGCATCACTGAAATCGCATCTTTGAGTCGAGCGAATGCCATAGTTATAGTCAGTCCATGTCCGTTAATGGCTCAATTGATAAGTCAGTTTCGCCCAAGGTGTCCGATTGTCTTTGTTACGGGTAATCCGAGGGTAGCCAGGCAATCGGTACTTTATCGCGGTGTCTGTCCGCTTGTTCCTGAGGCAATGGCGAATGGTTGCATCGATTTTGCCCGTATTCTGACAATGAGTTTAGAACAAATGGCCAAACTGAAAATTATAAATGTCGACCAGACGCTTAAAGTGATGTCTGTAAATGCCTTAAAGGCAGATAAGATCTCTTTCCGACTCCTCCACATGAAGCAAAAATCTCAGGAAACAAAATGCAAGGAAACGGCCGCAATAAAAGCAAAGTGCTCTGCAAAAATCACAAATTGCTTTAAAAAATCCTGATCAAATGAAATCACAGGGTTAAACCCATTTGGAAAAAGAAATAAAATTGGCATTGACAGAAATCAGATTTTAAATGTCTACATTTTTAAATATTATTGTTTAATAAAAAGCATCTCCTTATCTTAAATTTCTTTTGTACGTTAGAATGAAAAACTTTCAAACCGTTATTAAAAACTGCTCGAATGTAATTGCAACGTTGCCAGATTGTCGAGTTCAGATCAGCTGTTAAACTATTGAAGCTGACTCAATAATTATCGATAAATAGAAAATATTTATGCTTGGTTGTGAAATAACGAATTCAAAACGTAGAATTGCTAAGCAATTTATAGATAGTTTTTAGTTAGCTGCAATCGTTAAACACATTAAAATGTCATTGCCCTCAACAAAAGCAACAACTGCGACAACAACGCATGCCGTTGTGCAGGCGGTCGATACATATATACAAAATCAAAATTTACTGGGTGAAATAGCCGAACTCGATGAGCTGCTCTACGATTTGATTGATTTGCACAAGGACAGTGAATTGTCCCTTAAGCGTGTGCTGCAGTGCATTTACAACTTGCTGCAAAGCAACAACAAGTATAATGTGAAATTCGGACCGAAAATATTTCACAAGCTCATTTCGGTTGTGATCGCCGACAGAAGAGATGACGACGATAGCGGTACACATGGTCTGCGCCGTCAGCTGGTGGCCAATGTGCTCGTTTGTGTGCAAATCCATCTGCGCAAGTACCCGCGCATCGATGGCAAATTCCTGCTGCGCCAGCTCTGGTCGCTAAGTCTAAGCAGCGAACGTCAGCCGTATGCTGCCCAAATCCTCGTGCAGCTTTTCGATGATTTTGTTCGTGAATTGAGCGCAGAATGCGCATGCTCCATCGAGCTGTACACCGTCATAAAAACCCTGCTGCAATCGGAGTTGCGCGAGCATCGCAAGTCGGCTCACTTTCTTATGAGAAAACTCCAAATGATAATGCTGACGGCAAATGCAGAAGCCACAACTACTCTAAGCACACTCGTGCTCGACAGTCTCAAGTGCCGCGAGACTCACTGGTCTTCCTATGTCACCATAATGGAGACCCTTGAGGAGCAACAATCGCATTTGGTGCTGCCAACGCTCGGCACACTGTTGCCCCGTATTGCGTCCAGTAATCAGGGCGACGAATGGCTAAGCTGGTTACGCATCTTGTATGTCAAACTCTTGCAAGATAACAATATATTGGTGCTGCGCTGGACATTATCGTATTTTTTTAAGCACTTTGACGTGGCTAAATTGTTGCGCCTCAATCTGCTGGCCGAATTCCTAGCAGCCACAAATAGAACACAACTGTACAATGTCGAATGTAACGTGCTGCCCGCATTAGATGTGGAAAAATTCATTTCGCCGGCCGACACTCAACGATTCTTAGAAGCATTGGTTACGGTGCCATGGGTCTCGGTACCACTGCACTTTTGGCTACTCCATTGCACTGAGACGAAGACGCTGCAAGTTGCATCCTACAACAAAAACGTGTTGCTCAAACTCAGCTCACGAGTTCGCACGTTGAGAAATTCGAAAATACGGATGAACTGCAACAAATGCGTATTTCTGCTATTAGAGGTGATTTTCTTATTATTAATGTAAAAGAAAAACAAAACATTCTTTTTTTATTATTTTCATTACATTTTTACAGGACACCATCGAAAGCCTGACACTGGCCGATTATCTGATTTTCATTGAGACACTTTTCAACGCAAGCGATGATTTCTACTCGGACACCAATCGCTTGATCAGAAAAATTAAAAATTGCGACAATATAAAGGAGATCGTTTACTTTAGCAAACGTTGCTACGATATTATTTTCGGAGATACATGCCAAAGTGATTTCGTAAATGAGTTTATCAAATTATTAAATTATTTGCCAAAGGATCGACACGGTTGGGGCCGCTTTTTACCACTGTCTCGTAGAGCTAACTTGGAATCGAACTTGGAGTTCTATACAAATCAGTATAATGTGAATATCGAATATTTTCAAAAAGGCGCACATATTAGGGAATTACAGCAACATTTAATGCAACAACTTAACTGTCAAACTAAAGACGAGAAATCCTATGTGATGGAGCACTGTGTTGACTGGTTCGTTCAGATGCATCTGAAAAGCTGGAGTCAACTGAAAGAACTAAAATTGCAGCCGATCGATCTTCTAGAACATGGCACACGAAAAACGCATAATCATCTTGCAATGCTATTAGAAACAATTGACTCACCACTTCCAGACATTACAAATATGCTTGCAAAATTTGTGGCCATAATGAAGAATGATATACATAGTTCAGTCATGTAAGCCGCCACATCAAATACATCCTACTATAATCACATATAATTAAGTAAATACATACTTTTTAAATTGTCTAGCGCTGTGGCCCTTCTTCAATATGCAGCCAAAAATTTGAACGATGACGAAAATGAGAAACTTTTGGAGGATATTCTTATAATCATAAAAGATTGGTCTCTAATTCTGGGCATTTTAATGAAAGCGAAAATATTGCCCAATTCTATAGTCGTTAACGGCATTCTTGATGGCGATACCAGCACAGGAGATGCTCGGTAAGTTAGCTATCATAACAAATAACTATAAACTTATATATATTATATCACTTCACAGCATCGAAGCAGCTTATGTCAACAAAATTCTCGGTGATGTATACAATGATGTAGTATACCGAGCTCAATGTATTGATTTTGTTACACACCAATCAGACGGTAAAGTAAGTGATATATGTGATGAGTTGCTGCGCATCAACAAAGAGTTAACAGAAAAGAAACCGCGTTATTTTGAAAATTGCAAAGAGCATAGAATCAAAATACGCATTGCTAAGGCATTGTTAACGATGCAAGGTAAAATCAAATGGTCCGATGAAATGTGGACAGCAGTGCTGGCGCCCAATGATCAGCTAAACATCAGTTACATTTACGAGTGTCTCGTTGCTCAGCTGATGCCCAGCGTGACTACATTGTTGGATCGAATGCAGTCGCTGGCTTCGCTCAAGCCCAGCCAGCAGGTGTCGATCATTTCTGTCGTTCACATTTATTGCGTGATCAATTGGAAAAATATTGAATTTCAACATTTGCAAGAAATCGTCAGTTTAATTTTGCCCCACACAATGGGAGCACATTATCAGACACGTCTTCTCGCTCAGTTGGTTCTTCATAGACTTGCAGTGAAATCTGAAGAAAGCAGGTATATATGGATGTGTATATATATTTAATTAATATGAAACTAATTGAAATATTTCCAGTATTGAATGTCCTATACTTAATACAGTAAAGACGAGCATTGAAATTACTTTGGGATCTAAGTTGCATGACTTGCAAAAAGAAACTCGCCTATTATTACCGACGGTAATATCTCAATCTGCTGCTGATAATATTTTGTATATGACAAATACGCCATTCGACGAATATGTCAACTTTAACATAAGGTTTAATGATAAAGTCATAGAGGAGACGCGAACTGCATTTAAATCGAAAAGGAATTCATCAACAAATGTCCATGGAGTGCTGGCAGATACAGCAAATTTAAATGTTCAGAGAAAAATGAATCCTGTAAACGATATATATCCCTATATGGAATTAGATAAAGCGGACGGAAAACACCGTGAACAGGAGATGATAGTGGTAGCTTCTTTAATAGATAAGTTACCAAATCTTGGTGGCTTAGCACGAACCTGTGAGGTACTGGGTGTCAAGACATTGATTTTAGCTGCCAAGTCACTCGCGGATAAAAGTGACTTTACGAATTTAAGGTATAATCAATGTATATATATATTTGATCCAACTATGATCAGTTTACCTTCTCTTTCAGTATGACCGCCGAGAAGACCTTAAATATTGCTGAAGTTAAGCCTACTGCACTTGCCGAATTTTTAATCGAAAAACAATCGCTGGGATATAAAGTTGTGGGTGCTGAACAAACGGCGCAAAGCATCAGTTTTACAGATTTTAAATTTCCTGAGAAATGCATTTTGTTGTTAGGGTAAGTCTTTTTTTTTATTTAGCTTCAGTTTCTCACGAGTGGTAATAATGAGTTTCAATTTCCTTATAGACATGAGAAACATGGTATTCCAGTGGATTTAATTGCATTATTGGATTTTGCTGTCGAGATTCCACAATTTGGAGTGGTGCGTTCCTTAAACGTGCACGTTACAGGCTCATTATTTATTTGGGAATACTGTAAACAGCATTCAAAGAAATAATATTGGAGTGCAGCGACGAACATCTTTATCGCTCAACATGTGAATCGTAGAAAATCACATACTGCAAAGGGATTTTTGTGTAGAACCAATTTTTTTTAATACCTTCATTCAAATAAACTTTATATGCATATAAAATATGAGATTTTTGGCTTTCGAAAAGCTTAAATATGTATCGCTGAGAAGGTGGATTTTGGTTTTGTAAAAAAATATTTATTTATATGTCCACTTATAGTTTATTATATGTGAATATGTGAATTAAAATTTAGTTTCAAAATGTATCTTTCTGTACATGTATCTTTTGTATTTCGATAAAACGAACATTGTAATCGATGCATCGTACTCACTTATCGCCAAACGTCGTATCGATGCTATTCGTGAATAAATAAATGAATAAAAACAACTCAAAATAAAGGAACAAATAATATGAGTTTCTCCGAAAATACGTCAGATTCCGACTGGTAAGACCAAATAATAGATAAAAGATTCCTTCACCGCCTAACACACTTAAATATATTTAGGAAAGAGGCGAAGTTAAAAGTGAAACTCAATAGTAGTACTGGCTGTGGAAAGCAGAAATACAGCCAAAAGTTTTGTGAGAAGTGGCTCAGTCTCTTTGATCCATGGCTCCGGCGATCCGCCGATGATCCCAACAAGCCGTTCTGCCGAGCTTGTCAGTGTCGCCTGGATTGCAATCGTTGTCATTTGGAGCGGCATGAGCGCACAACGAAACACAAACGGAATCTGGAATCACTTATTACCAAAGGCGAAGGTGCTGTGCGAGAGGAATTGAGTGTACGTCAGGAGCGAAGTAAATACTATCATCAGCGAAAGCGTGCCCTGAAAGCGTGCACGGTAAAGCCCGAACCTGCTGCCATAGCTCTGGAGAACATTTCCGAGGCGGTGGCAACTGCAGTTAGCCCTACCGATGATGTTATCGAAGAAAGGTGCGTATGTTCCATTTATCGCTAGCCTTATTATTTTTAATTGATGTTGTTTTATGGCAGCTCACACAACTTTGAGGTAATTGAAGGCACAGCGCAGGAACAGGTACAAAGTACACCCATTGCAACAACGCAGGCGACACTCACGGCAGCTAACCACATCAGAAGCCCGCCTAAGGCAAGCCAACCGGTATCCAGTGGAGCAGTCAATCGCAGCGCAAACAGTTCGTCCAATAAAGAAGGTCTTAAGCTTCTTATGCAAATACAACAGGATAAGAACGAACTAATGGAGTCATTTCGAGAGCTAATTGGAGTTCAGTTACCGCACCCACCCCCAAGAGAGAAGAATCATGTGGACCTGTTCTTTGACAGCGTCAGCTCCAGTGTCAAAGCTCTTTCCCCAAAACTCGTCGCTGAGGCAAAGATGCGCGTATCGCAGCTGATCTGCGAACTGGAGCTGCGCGCTCTAAAAGAGAATAGTGCAAATGGTGACAATGCGGACATTGAGATGCCAATGCCGACGTCACAGGGCATCGGGCACCATAACATTTCACATCATACGCACTATGGAACTCTGACATGAAATTGTTAGCCGGGCTCAAAATGCAAATACATATATATATATAAAAGATTATGACTAAATTGTAAAGAAATTGTAAATACATATGTATATTAAAATCAGTACGGATTGTACGAACAAAATTCATTTATTTTGAAATTCAGTGAATTAAATCGATACATCGTATATACCCACGCAAATATATCGATATACGATTAATTAAAAGTGTGCATCTCTATTTTCCGGTGTCGGCGATTTGTAAACAAATCTATAACATGAAAGTGATTAATGCCTAGAACGTAAATAGCTAGAAGTAATATACAAATTTATAAGTAAAATTTTAATTATTTTGCAGTCGCAACTAATAAATATGTCTCCAAGGCGTCATGCTATGAAAGCCAAACCACTGTTGAATCGTGATGAACTTCTGCAGAGCATTGTCCGAGATCGTGCGTTGTTGAACGCCTATTTTCTTGATATTGCAAAAAAAGAGTCCCAGTCGACAGTGCCAAAAGGATCTGCCAGCATCCTCACACCAAAATCTGCATCAGCCGTGCAACAGCGTGACAGCTATGATTTGTTCTTCGAAAGTGCTTGCATCAGTATTAAGAGCTTGCCACCAAAACTGGCGGCTGAAGCCAAAAATCGAATCTCACATGTCATTACCGAGTTTGAGTTGCGAGCCATTTCGGAACACGAAGCCCAGCAGGCAATGGGAAAGCAGGAACTCGTTAAAGCCATCAGAGTATCTAACGAACCGGTTATGGATCCCTCAACTGGGATTGTTTATGAATTTCAGGCGTGCTCTTAACGACGCTGTCCCTGAATTTTCTGTCAGCATACGATTTTAAAAGAAAACTATTATGTCTTGGCACATTCGAGACAGTTCGACCTAACAAAATTATTAAAATTAAATTCTATAAATTATTTTTAGAAGAAAAGTTTTTTATTTTCAATGCTTGTGGTTCCTTTTCGCCGCTAAATTGTTCCAGTTTTATTATGCCAAAAGGAAAGAAAGTGTGCATCATTGGAGCAGAGGGCTGGTAGGATATGGCAATTGTTGTGGTCATTAGCATTTTTTTTTTTATGACAAATGCCATATCTTTAATCTCTTTCAGGGGTTCTGCTATTTCCACTGCCGTGTGTAAAAATGTGCTCAATGGTAAATACGATTCTCGAGTTCATATCTATGTGTACGATGAACTAGTTAGAAGCCAATATCTCTCAAATCTGATGAATGAACAGCATGAAAATATTAAGTATCTACCTGGCATTAGGCTGCCCAAGAACTTGGTAAGATGCGTTTTCTTTTATCTAGCATTTGCCATTCGTTCAGGTTAACTACTCTTGTCAGATTGCTGTCAACGATCTGCTGGAAGCTGCACAAAGTGCCGATATATTAATTTTTGCCACGCCGCATGGCTATGTAAAATCATATTGTAACATCTTAGAGGACTATGTGAAACCCACTGCCTATGCGGTCTCACTAGTCAAGGGGCTGGAGCATACTAGAGATGGCGAACTCAATCTGTATTCGCATACAATCGCCGAGCGGTTACAAATTCCGTGCTATTCGATGATGAATGCCAATAGCGCCATGGAGATGGCACAGGGAAAACTCTGCGAGATGACCGTTGGCTGCGACAACGATGCGCATGCAAAAGAATTGATCACCCTCTTCCAGACTGAGAACTGCATGGTGTTCATTATGGATGATGTGGTTGGTGTGGAACTGTGTAATACACTGAAGGACCTAGTTGCACTAAGTGCCGGCTTTATTGATGGCTTGCGATTGGGTGAAAACGCTCGGGTTGCTTGCCTTCATTTGGGCTTGAAGGAAATGATACGATTCATCAAGAATTTCAATCCAACTACCAAAGTGTCTACATTTTTCGAAAGTTGTGGCATTGCCAATTCAGTGGTTTCATCCTTCGGTGAGTAGAATGACTTCTCGAAGACCCCATTCTGCTCATTCTAGTTTTGCTTCTATTTTTATTTTTAGCTGATAAAAACGTTACATTTGCTAATAACTTTGTTACCTCACGAAAAACTATACAAGAAATTGAAGCAAATCTTTTGAATGGTCGCAAGCTGCTCGGACCCATAATCGCTGAAGAAATCTATGCATATTTAGAGCACAAGGGCATGCAGAAAATGTGAGTATAATCCATTGAATTTTAATGTATGATAAATTAAAGCATTTAATGTATGTTTCTAAAAGGTATCCACTGTTTTCGGTCATACATCGTATCTGCCAGATGGAGGTATCCCCACAAGCTATTATAGATACCCTGCGACACCATCCGGACATGAGGTAAGTGTGACAAAATTAATGATATTTAATCATTTATCCGTATCTTTCATTAGCAATTACTCCATTAGACAACTGCAAATTGATGAAAATTTGATGCGAAACACTTCGTACGCTGAAAGTATTTTTGAGAACGTGGCTGACACAGTTCCCGAGCAAATGCCAGGCTCGGCGGAAAAAATAATTCTTGGGTCGGATGATCAGGAAAAGCTTAATAGCTCTAAGGAGGAAAATGAAGGATTCTGGAAACCCTATGATAAATATTTTAATCTTCCCAATAAGTCTACAGAGGTAAACGAGTTATTAAAGATGTATAAAGAAGCAACTGGGACCATGGATGAAGGCAAAAGTGGAAACGTTGGGTATTCTGTTGAAATGGGTTCAGAAACCGATAAAGTGAAAAGCTGTCCTCCGCCCAAGAATTCATCAATTGGGACAGACAGTCCTCCAATCAGGTCCAAAAAGATTTCCACAGATAAGTCAAAAGGACCTAAAAATAAAGAGCAGTCGAAAATGGATAAGCCTGATAAAGGAAAGCCATCGGGAAGCGTCGGTTTGAATACACCAAATGATGAATATAAAGCATTAAGAGTGACAGTTAAGGGTACAAATCCAAAGAATAACGATAAAGTCCAAGAGATATCGGAAAAACCAATTCAAAATAAGAACGAGAAACAACAAACAAACGAGGCAAACGATAGTAAAGCGGACTCAAAGCCTAAATTAAAAAAATTAAGTGATAAACACCCAAATGCATCCAGCAAAGTTTCTAGAAGCCCAGAGAAACAGAAGAAGCAGCAGACAGAACAACCGCACTTGGAAACACCTGACGCAAGTGACGACAGCAAAGAGTCGCGCTACGACAATGAGCCTATGATCAGAATCCAATTGTTTGAGGACGAGCCAAATGTATTAAGGTTCTTAGAGTCAATGCGCAAAGAAGAAAGCGACGCGTTGGCAATTAATAAGCGTCTTCCCCCAAGCAGTAATGATGATCTCCTGGTGTTGGGTATGGGCACAGATAAAAATAGAAGCGTTACTAATGAAATGGGCTCTCAGATTAATAAGGAACTAATTTTGAAAGGATTGGATTACTGGAAAACTCTAGAAATCGAAAATACGCCCCACAAATGCCAAGTACATTATAATATTATGGAATCACAAGAAAAAGCAATCGAAAAGGATCGAAAAGGAAAAGGCACGCCTGAGCTGACCGCTCAAGGTACGCGCTATGATGAACATGTTGTAAATTGTGCACAGAAGCAAAGCAAAGAGGAGCAATTGGATATAGAGATTCAGCAAAATTTGCAGAGGGATCTATCCATAGAGCCAATAATCTCAAATACCCTCAGCACTATTTCAACAAAAACGGGGACGTTCCAAGATCTGAGCAGTCAACACAATATTTGGGGTAATGCTGAAGAGCCAATATTGACGCTGCGCTTAAGCAACGAAAATCAAGAATTCTCGACATTGGGCCAAACCCCACTTCACACAACAGATCCGAAAATGGTCGATATTACACAGACGCATCAGCAGACCTTACCTTGTGAACTGAAAATGCAATCAATAGCCAACGATGACAACAGCAATGACATTTCAAAATGGTATCAGTCTGTTAATGAGAGGAATAACTATGACCACACTGATAATACAGCTGTAAAATATCCACACCTGACACGTTTTAGTTTTGAGGAAGATGACAGTTTTTCGGATCCGAAAATGGTTGATACTAAACGGATGCATCACGACACTTTGCCCGGTGAACTTACGATGCAATCCAACGATGCTAACGATGATAATATCAATGACATTTCAAAATTGCTTCAGTCTGGTAATAATAAGGATAACTATTACAACACTGATAAAGATGCTGACAATGATCCAAGACTGACACCTTTTAATATTGAGGAAGATCAGGACGATCAGATTATTCAGGAATCGGATATCGATGAATTAAATCAATTGCGATTTTTACAGAAGCTATTCAAGGAGTATGATGCTTCATTTGAACCAACAGCACTTGCTGACAGCGACTGGGACTCCAAAACAATCGATCAAATTGAGGACAATTCCTTTGAAAATGATTCGGCAAAGGTGCCTCGAAACGATAAACAATATCGGGAATACACTTCATTTGAAAGCGATAGCAACGAGTCGGCAGAACTCCAATATGAAGCAGTTGACAAATCGCAAAATCTAAAACATTTTGATGAAGACTATGATTATTTTTCGGTATCTGAACCGGCCATAGAATTAAACGAACTGCAAACCACACACAAGTTGCTCGAGGACCATTTCGATGGCAATGAATTCGAATCATTTGATAACAGCTACAATGACGAGTCTTTGGAAAATAGATCAACATCCATTAAAAACAGTAGCGAAGATTTTTCAAAGGTTCTTAAAAATGATGAACTATTCTCGGAAATGGAATTCGCATCATTTGAAAGCGATAGCAAAGACGCGCCAAAAGTCCGACATGAACACGGTGATGAAAGACCAAGGAACGATTCGAAATCTCCATTGTCAAACATCGACGAGGATAATCGTCATGAGCTTTTGGAATCAGAAAATAATCACCTTGAATTTCCTCAAATGAAAGGAGACATTCTAGACGAGATGATTAACGAAGCTATCAAAAACTTCGAAATCGAACAACTGAAGACATATCCTAAAGTGAAGCGGTCCAACATTGACGATAATACAAATATAATGTCGGTTAAAGAGAAACTGGGCAACCATCCAAATATCAGCAGGAGCAGTGATAACGATAAACGGAAAATTCGCCGTCGAGACAGTGAGGAAAGGATTAGAGACGAGGGTAAAAATGTACCTGAAATTGGTGTCGATGAGAATCAAAACTTAGGGACAGAAAATAAATTACTGGATATGAACATTAAACGTAAGCCTTCATCAGAACGGGATTGGTTGTCGGATGATAAGAAACTCGACGACACTTTCGAGGACCTTACGCAGGAGAATTTGAAAAAGAAGGTTTCCACTCTGTATCAAAACATCTTGAAAAATATTATCAAATCAAATGAACCAGAAAAATTAGAAGAGCCAAAACAGCATCAAGATCGACTACCATTGCCAAATAGAAAACAGCAGGCAAAACATGAAAACAAAACGCTTAAGGATAGTCCGGAACCTCTTATCGCACCCAATGTTTTATGGTCCAAGGATAAGATGAGGGTAAAAGAAGCCAGAATCAATACGAACTCTTTGATTTCAAAGATATTTGTTAAGCCTAAAATTGATTCTAAGAAAAGAGGGCACCAAGAAACAGAACCGATCGCTGAAAAATACGACGAGCCAGCAAAGTCAGAATCAAAAAAACGGTTTTATTATAATGCCAAAAAATCATTACCCAAACGACTTCCGTTAAAACTGAAAGGCAGGAAGCCTTCGAGAAGCACTGAGTTGCAAATGGATAATAAATCAATTAAATTTAGTCTAAGTAAAATCATATCAAAAAGCCAGCCGAAGGAGAAAACGGTCAAACATCTGAGGACAAATCCCTATATTCAAAATCAAACTGTACTGCCCGCGCATTGTAAAAATGACAGCGTTTCTGGACGAGTCGCTAAAATAGGAAACACCAAACAATATCATCCACCAATCAATCCCCGCATACGCATACCCCATCCCCCATTTGATGTGCGTGATCACGAATACCACACGGTGAACTTTCGGCCTCCACCCGATCTGCTGCGCAACGTATCGCTCCCGCGGAGGCGACTTGTGACCACATGCAAGATGGCTAGACAGGTGGGCGCCCAAGGCGTGGCAAGACTACCGCGGCCAACCTTCAAGCTGCCGCAAGCCATGATGCGCTCTTCCATTTTGGCCGTAGAGCTGGGCATTTTTGCCGCTCTCTTGGCGCGCTACAAGACCAAATGATCGATGGGCTTATCTCTGCCTCCCAATAACACCGATTACACACTTTTATCTTTTTTTTTGGCAATAAATTTGTAACATATATTATAACCACGCATATTCCACGATGGGGCGACGCTGAAACACCTGCCGCGCTTCCACTGATTGCAATGGTCGAAAGGTATTTAGCAGAGGTCGTCCAAGGCGATCCCGGAGCTGCCAAAACTTTGGTAATTCCCGATGGGAAATGGGCAGCACCTCGGCGAAGACATGCCACAACACAGCTGGCGAACAGGGCGGCGTTGTCAATGAACCTTTGTAGGCATAAAAGTTGCCCCTGTCCAAATTACCCAGCAGTGATCCAAGTGTGAGGAATGCGGCTGGCGTATAGCTGTTGTTAAACTCTCCCAGATGTAACAGCGATCCAAAGATTTCATTCAGACCAGGTTGGTAATACAAATAGTCTGTCTGTAAGCAAAGCAGACATTAGGCAGGCTTAGCTAGTCATTGTTGATTAATTTAAAATGCTTTGTGTATTTTTGTATTCACTTACCTTCACCACTTTAAAGAGCACGGCGAGTACGGCGATGCCATCGGTTTGATTTCTCGCCTCCTCGTCACTCTGGTACTTTGTATTGCGGTGAACAATGTGCATTTCCAGATCGTAGCGACGACCGTTTATCAAATGCTCCGAGCCCTTGCTTTGAGATGAGCCCCAGTGGAAGTGGACGGCCATCGCCTCATAAAAGTCACTCAGAAGGCCGCCCGTCAAATAGGGACGTTCTCCAAACACTGTCGGCGGCACACCGAACTCAACTGTAACTCAGCACAAGAATATGAAATGAACATTTCCATATGATATCTACCTACCTGTGTGTCCATTGTTTCTAATGCTCAAGAGCTCATCGAAGGGCTCGTCATATAAACCAAAGTACAATGGCGGCAAACCAATGGGTATCACTTTGTGCGGGTTGAGTGCTATGGGCGACTGTTCGGAGCCGCCACACTGTGGATAGCTGTATTGCCATTTCTGGGGTTCATCATAGCTAAAGCGTAGGCCCTCCGGCAATAAATCTACGAAAGGATACATAAAGAATGTAACTTGTTTAATTGATTTTTAACATTTACTTATAGAAGATGGATTCTATTTTAATATTATGCTGGAGTCCAATACAAGTAGATGATTTCAATTGCAACTGTTGCACTTTTGTATAGAAGGATTCTTTTTCAAAATCTAGCCAAATGCAACTGTTTTTGTTTGGATTTCCTCATTGATATATTTGTTAAGCTGTGCAAATTTATTTACACATTTACTATTCGCACGCCCAAGTCAAGTTATTTGGGCAATTCCCAGGTGCCTCGACCACAATGGCTAACTGTTTTGACTCGATTCCCAAGAGCTGCGGGAGTCAATTGCATCAATTCCAGCATCAATTTGCTGCTCACCACGCCCACTAAATGGGCAATTATTGTCCAATTTGAGAAGCGTTCGCCAAAAACAATAAAAGAAAAATAATAATAATAATAAAAAGAGAGAGCCCTTCTGCGTCATCTTATATAATCATTGTAGACAATAAGCATTACTGTGACATATTCCATGCTTTTTTCGCAAAGCATTTGTGCATGCAATTTTAATTATTGTTATTATTTACAAGCCGCTGCTTTGTTTGCTATCCATTAGATGATGCGTGTGCCACTCCGCTGCCGCAACAATTTGACAGTTTTATGGTCGCTTAGGGTGATATACGCGGCAGTTTCGATTAGAGATGCCTCATAAAATGTTACCAAATGCTGTGCGCCATGTAGCGTTGCAGATCGTCTCATAAACCACACAGTCGTTCAACCTTATTACATGCAAGCACATAAAAAATCTCGAAAAATGTTGTTAACAGGGAAACATTGTTAGATCTTCACAATTTTGATTGTCAATCGTTGATATTCTTTGGTCACACTTGGTTGATTTGTAAATTGATTTTTTTCTTCTTTTGTTTTATGACATTTGGAGATAAAGTTCTCAATAATAATACCCACTTGCAGAAAACGGCAGAAGAAAAAGCAAACGTTGATAGAAATCGCCAATGGCCGGAAAATGCATTATAGACAAAAACGACAAACACAATATACAAATATATATGCATATATAGGTAAGTACATATGCAATTGTTAAATACACGCACTAACGACAAAGATGCGCAGGCCACGTTGCTCTGCAAACTGAGCCATGCTCACGGCTGGCTTAGACCTTTATATGGAGCCACGGTTGCGACGGTGACTTCGACGACAGCCCTTCGTCAGCGTCATCTGCCGCGACGCCGACGAGATCTTTGATACCAACATCTCGAGCCTTACGCCCTTTTATTAAAGGCAGACTAACCAAAAAAACACACAATGTTAAATTAAAGTTGCTAGAACTCGCACAAAATAATTAAAAGAATAAATTCTGTGTTTTATTTCGTCAATGCTCGCCGAGTTTATCGACTAAGTAGAAATAAAGTCCAAAAGGGCATGGACACGAATGTTTCGAATTTCATACATTTGTATGTAAGCCATTCTCATACCTGGGTACGCACCTGAAAGTAAAAAAAAAAAAAAAACTGAAGGCTTAGATTAAAAATGACACTTGCAGATATTTAATAGATTAACGATATTTAAATCTGGTCTTATGCAACACTAAACACTAAGCACATACTTTAATTATTTTTATTTTCCAATTTATTCTCTCTACGAGATAATGTTTTTAACTGGTGCGTTTTGCTCATAAAATGCTTGCTGCAACAAGCAAAACAGTTTTTACTATTTAAACTCACTTTGGACCGGTTGTTGCTGTGGCGTGATAACTTGAGCCGATCTAATATCATTGTATATGTAAATACTCCAACGCAAAGCTTTATTTGCAACTTTGTTTCCCCATTTATTATTTAGATAACAATATAAAACTGCATAATGATATTAAAAACGTGGCAGATAAACATTATTTGCTTTGATCTTGTTTGTAGACAAGTCATTTGTTTTATTTTGGACACATTTACAACATTTTTATGGTGGCTGCAACTGCCGTTCTTGAGATATGCCAGCATTTCAAAATTTATTCAAGGGTTTTGATGTCCAAAATTTTAGTTACGCATTTTACTTCACCTCCAACTATGCTCATATCTTTTCTTTGTGCCTTTTACTACTTATGTATGTTGTGGAGCAGGGACGCAACCAGCAGTTTGCAAAGGGGTTAGGTAAGGGGTTGTCGCAAGAATTTCTGTTTTTCATACTCATAAGTGTGAATCACATGTCACACATTATAAGTAAATAATTCAAAGATTCTTTAAGCCTTTGAAAAACTTATCCTTTCCAACCCCCATTGCGTAAGCCCATGGAGATAAAGGTTCTTATTATGTTATTCCTAGGAATTATTGCAAATTGGCAACACTTTCATGTGAAAGCAATAAATGCCAATATCCGTACAGTTTGTTGGGGAAGTGCCAGGGGAATGGTCAAAGATCAATATCAAATTCTTCACATTCTTGCGGCTATCAGTTGAAAATACACACATATGTTTTATATACTACTACATATGTATAATAAGCGTCGATCAGCTGGCGGAATTGTCTCTAAATCTTTTTCATATATGCAATGCAGTGGTTTTCAAACAAATTTATTTATAAATGTATATAAAAGCTTTTCAGTGTGACTTTTGGTGCTCTTTGGTAAAGGAAATTGCGCAAACTAATTTTCTCTGTTAGCGTTAAATGCTTAAAGATATATATGATAATTGTGTATACTGTCAATTAGTCAACTAAATAATACTAAACAACTTTTTTGAATATTCCAAATTTTAGTTTGCGTGTAACAGGACTTTTATTGATTTTTCGCTTGCTCTCAACGAGCTGCGGCACAAACAACAACAACAGCAACCGGCTCAGCATCAGCTGTTGTGTCGTGTCGCAGAAAGCAAAAATCAGAAATCAACAACAGCGACGGCTACGGCGACAGCGACGGTGACTGCGACTGTGACGGTGACTGCGACGCTGAATAGTAGCGTACATTTTGCCAATAAGAATTTTGCGCAGTACTTGGCCGCAGCCAATAGAAACACAAACGTTGTTGCATGCAGAAGTGTTATAAACAAAACGCATTGTTGAACCTTAGACGAATTTGTAGCGGGCGAGTGAAAGAGTGTGAGGGAGGGAGAAAGAGAGAGAGGACAAAACGCATCACGTTATGTTCAAGGCATTAAAGGAAAAACTGTAACGTACTGGCGAAATAACTAACATTTAGAAAATTCACTAATAACAAAAACCTACGCAAAAACCAACAACAATTTATCAAAACACACAAACAAATACTCGTAAAAGCAAAAAAAAAAATGCGCGAGCTTAGGGAGCAGCGACAACGTCAGGCGTAAGTACTACAATATATATGAGAGAAGGACAGTGTGATAGAAAGAGAGAGAAGGGCAAAAGCGGCAAAACGAATTACGCGTTATAAGCGAGCGACGCATTGGCGCGCTATTCCCTCCAGTGAGTGATTTAGAGAATAAAGCTTAAATACGAACTACGAAACAATAATAATGAGGGGATAGAGGAAACTATGATAATATGGCATGCAATGGAGCAGCAGCAGCAGCAGCACAAACAGCAACCGCAACGAGTCTAACAATATGTCAGAGTAGGAAGCGCGAAATAACAAACAGAAATTTGATACGATACCTCGAAACGGCGAATGTGACGAGCAAAACACAGAGACAGAAAGCACAGAATGAAGCGCGAAGCCAAAGCGTGTGTGTGCCCTGTGTGTCTGTCCATGGGCATGGATATCATTATTGTATTTCGTTTCGTTTTGTTTTGTTTTGTTTTGTTTGTGCTGTGCTGTGTTGTGATGTGTTTAGTTTTGGCTTGTGAGCGCGTGTTCTTCTGTATCTTTCGGATACGTTAGCCAAAAATATGTGCGGTATGCGGTGTATGCGGAATGTTTTCAAAAAAGGTATCCGAGTCGAGTCTCGTGGCTTACCAAAACGTTTCTGAATCATTACACTCGAAAACGGTCTCTATTGAAAGTCGGAAGTACGTATGAATGTCGCGGTAGGGTATTTAAATGCAGGTCGCATTTTAAAAAGAAATGTGTACCAGATAATAAAAAAAACAAGTATTAATTTATGTGTATTTATAATCAAATTATTAATTAGATTTCTCAGGCGACACAGACACAGAGACACAATTTTGTTGGTGTTGTAAAATTGAAATTGCTGGCGCTTAAACATAAAGCAAATACCTGTTTTTTTCTTTTTTTTTTTTTGATTTCAGCTCCAACTTAATAATGAAAACAAACCGCCTTGTACTATTGCGCCACGGCGAGAGCGAGTTCAATCTGAGGAATCTGTTTTGCGGCTGGCACGATGCGCCGCTCAGTGCCAGTGGTAAGTTTGCCACAATGCTAACATTATCATATTATGTATATATGTATATGTGTATATTTAATATTTATGTATGTCTGTCTATCAATTCGATAAATAGGTTTGGAAGAGGCGCGCACCATCGCGGCAGCTAATTTGATAGCAGCCAAGTTGGTATTCGACAAGGTTTACTGCTCGACACTGAGTCGCTCTAAACGTTCCGCTGAGGTGATCTTAAGCGAAATGAAATGCTCCTTTCTGCCGACGGTGTCTGACTGGCGACTCAATGAGCGCCACTACGGCAATCTGACCGGTGCCAATAAACGGGATATGGCCAATCGATATGGCGAGGAGCAGGTACAGTTTTGGCGACGCAACTATGACGGCCTGCCACCCCCAATCGAGACCAGCAACAAATACTTCTATCACATCTGCAACAATCCCGCCTTTCAAGCTGTGCCCATCGATCAATTCCCGCTCACCGAATCGATGCGCATGTGCGTGGACCGAGTCAGTCCCGTCTGGTCGGAGATTCGCAAGGAAGTGCTGGAAGGCATACGGGTTCTGATCGTCGTCCATGGCACGGTGACCCGAGCTCTGGTTAAGCACATCGAAGGTGAAGGAATAGTGTATTCTGATAAATCACTGGATGACTAATGCTTAATATCCTTACAGGGCTGAGTGAAGAACAAATTGAGAAAGTGAACATACCCAATAGTGTGCCCATTGTTTACGAGTTCAATATGAAAACCGGTGAGCTAATCGGTGGCAGCAAATACCTGGGAGACGCCAAATACATTGAAAAAATGACAGAAAAAGTGGCAGGTATTGGCAATTAAATACTAAAATTACAATTAAGGAAAAACATGTCGTTTTTTTTTTGAGAAACCTATTTTGTTAGTAATAAGAAAATATATTTAATTTAACACTTTGTGTCAAGCACTTATTGATTTCTATTTAGTAATAATATATTGTGTTTGTATCTACGCTCATAATTGGCATAGAGTTTTGTCTTCTGACAAACGTTGTCAGTTCAAGTAATCAACAAAGTTATTTTTATCTCATGATAAGCGTAACAGAAAAGATAGTTCCCAACTTTGGATAGCCAAAAGATTGTGATTAAAGAATTAGTCAGTTTCGTTTTGTTGTTTATTTTCCTCATTGTATAAAATAACTATTTAATTATAGTATTTAATTATAGTATTTAATATTGATAATAGTTGAAACAGTTAAATGCATTTAGTAATACTTTTAGTTTCTGCCACGCCCCAATGTCGCAATTAGTCCAACTAATAGTAATTTTGCTCATTGTAATTGTAGAGAGAATTTAGATTATTGGGCAGTATGTAGATATCCTCCGGGCGACCATTGAACACAAACGGACGCTGGAGCGACATCAGTTTGGAGTCCTTCTGCGGTGCTGGCATCGAGGCAAGCCCAAAGTTCTGATGGCCATGGCCAAAGCCAGATGGCACAGCTGCCGGCGGCGGCGATGTCATTGGTCTATAGGGATTGGTGGGCGTGGGTGGGCGCACATTGAAACCACTGCCGTAACCAGCAGCGGTAAATGGCGCAAGATCGTTGGGAGCACCATTAATTTGATAAATGCCCGATGGTTTGCCATTGGCCATAAAATTAACGGGCAAATTGAAGACCGATCCAAAGGTGGAGAATGTGGGCATTGGCTGATATGTCAGCAGCGGTGAGAAATTGTTGCCAAACGATGCGGGCGCCAAATTGGTGGGCAAAAACATGTACGGCGTGGGCGGCAGACGGACATAGAAGATGGGCGAGTTGCGAGATGCATGCGACGACGTTGGACGCCGTGCGCCGGCTGCGCGTGACGTGACCACATCATCCAGCTCACTGCTGGCGCCCGGATAGGTGGGATAGAACATGTCGGGCGCTATATAAAGTGGAAACGGTATTAGCACCGGCTGGGCGTACCCAATAAATGGCAGCATCTTGGGCATGGGCATAGCAGGCGTCGGTGGCGTCATACTTTCGAACGGATTAATGGATGCACTGTTGGCGGCGGCGGCGGCTGCTGCTATGTATGGATTCCATACATAGTTGGTGTCTGGGACTGGCATTCGGGAATCCTGCTTAAGCTCGTGCAGCATTTGATACGAATCATCCTCCTCCTCACTCTTTATATCCTGCAGCTCAACTGGGAGCTCCGACTCATGCACATAGTGCTGCTGCCCCGTTGCTGTATTGTGAGTTGCCGGTTGTTGCAGCTGCTGCGGCGGCTGTTGCGACTGCTTCTTGACCAGTTGCGACAAATTCGCGGCATGCGCAGAGTAGATCAGCTGCAATGCCACCAGAATGTGCAGGTATGTTGTCCACATGCGCAGCGCCATCGTTTAGTTTGACTGCAAATGTGTTTATTAAGTTGAATGTAAGAATTGCGATGATCTGTCAAACTGTTCATAATATTTAGTTATTTAACTTCGATACAGCATTAACGATTTTTTATTTATTATATATGCACGCATAACTGATCACATAAGGTAATATATTCCAAAATACGTTTTATGTTGTCTTTATTTGCAAAAAGTAGTCTCTTAGTTTAGCTCCCACTTCAATAAAGTGATTATTGACAAACAAAAACAAAACACAAAATATGAAAAGAAAATTATCATCCTTATTTATCAGAGTTTTCCGACAACGGTTTTCACAACTTTTCATGTATGTCTACTACTACTTTCTTTAACTTTATTTTCCGATATCTTTGTTACTTTTGCTATCTGTTGCATTCCTTATTATAACTTTTATTTACAAATCTTAATATTCTATTTATATATGGAGATGTGCAGAGCTGTTTGTCAGATTTTGACAGATCGGCTAGTTATATCACAGTTGTCTATTTAGAATGAACAAATTAGCTGTCTTTTAAGACAACTTGCCTTAACAAATGAATGATGATTATGAAGAAATGCAAGTTACCATATTATTTAATTACCATCAACAAGAATTACAAGTTTCTTCTTTTTTTTATTAATTTTCTTTGACCAAAAATCAATCAATATCAGACTTTAATATCATTTAAAGAACTTTTCTTTGTGTTTTCACATTTTGGGAAAGTAAAATTAGGCAAGAAGTCATTTTCACTTAACACTTTTTAAGTCATTCTTTGTTGGATTAAATAAAAGTAAAGTTCTTTCAAAGCTGTTAGTTCTGCAATCGCTGCCCACACATACAATTTATACTTGTGTTCCAAATACTTCTTGGTTTGACAAACAGGATGCGTATCCTGTCGCACTGTGTACACACACACAAAACAAAACGAAACTGAAAAATGGACTGCACAGCAGGCGCGTTCAACTGGCAATGGGTGTGAACGCGTTGAGAAGCTGCGCTTTATATATTGGCCAAGAAGTCGCCAAGTCGCTGCGCATGCGCAGAACTGGCCAAGAAGCGAATTGCCCACAAGTACCAACAGAATCCGAAGCAAAGAAAAACAAAATAGAAAAAGAGAAAAGGCAACCAGCGTTGGCTGCTGCTTAATATTAGCTGTTTGCAAGTTGCTTAAAATACTTCACATTGCGACTGTGAACAACTCTGATGGTTCGATTTAGATTTGCGTAGATTGCGTGCTTGGCTCCCAAGTGATAAATTTAATAATTGCTGGCAGCACAAGCGTAATGATTAAAAAATTAAAATAAGAAAAAGAATCATTTAATTCTATTGCCACAAGATTGAGTGACTGGCTGTCGTTGCATAAATAATACGACTAAAATGGGTAGAATTAGTATGTAACTGGCAGCAGGACAAATATATATATATATATATATAAAATATATCATAATAATCATAGGGCAGCTGCTAGTCGAGGTCTGTCGGGTGATACATTCGTGCTTTATAAGTTAGACTAGGGCAGCTCGACAAGGAAGTCAGATGAAAAGCTCATTAGTCAATGATATCCACAAAGCACTCTACTTACCAGTCTGCTTTAGCACCTGTATCTTTATTTGCAGCTTGTGCATAATTGCATAATTGGGCATCATTTTCTGATTACATCAATGTGCATACACACCATATGTTACACTCAGAGAAAATCAAAGTACTAGTGAAAGAAGCCTCAATTTTAAAATAAGCATTAAGCATTAAACTAAGTTCCTTTTTAAACGTTAAGCAATTATTAAAGAATTTGAGTTATCATATAACATTCATAGGAACATGTCTTAAAAACTGAGAAAAATAATAATTTTATTATTACGAATTTTGGCATTATAAAAATAGCTCATGAATTAAAAACTTTATTTTCTGTTCACAAATTCAATTATTTTGTGCAGTGTGCATCTTTATTATCTGCATAATTCCAGGCCAATGGCAGTTATAGCTGCATATTAAGGCATGTCATAGACCTTGCCTCTGGTCCAAGCCTCTGTTTGATACACAGAGAGAAAGAGAGAGGGAGAGAGAAATGGTGAGCGAGAGAACGCCTTGTATAATTATGTTGATTTTATAAAAGGGGTAGATAAACATAGATAGATAGGCGCTCCCTGACATTGCCCGTTTGCAATATTCATATTCTAATAAAAATACATTTGTTAGTGGCAGTGGCAGTGGCAGTGGCATTGGCGCCGGCGCCGGCGCTGCTCCTCTAGAGATTAGGCCAATAATAAATTACATTGCTAATTAAGCGTCCCGACTGGCGGTTGACTGTAACTGCAGCTATGGACAACCACGCAGATGTAAAAGATACAGATACAAATACCTAGCACACGTATCCATGTCTGTATGCGTGTACTTGCATGCCACAGATTGCGCCGCTGCTGCTGGAACAGAACAGGAACGACAACAGCTACAGATAGGCAGAGGCAACAATAATGAACGGATGGTGCCATAATAAAGCCGAACCAAGTTAAGTTCTGGCCAAGAATACGCGCGCCAACGTAATTAGCCTTGGAATGTCCTTGTGCACGTGACCATCAACCCGGACAGCAAACTGCAGCAGCAGCGGGTCTTTTTATGCTGAGCTGCTGCTGCTGCTGCTGCTGCTGCTGCTGCTGGTAGCTGGTAGCTGTTAGCTGGTAGCTCCTACCAAATGCTAAATATAAACGAGCGTGCCTGCACCACATCTAACTTGGGCACACTTTCCTAACGAAGCGAAGCCGCTGGTGTCGCACACTCGAGGTGTTGCTGCCGGCAATTGGAACGTACATAAATGTGAACGCCAAACGTAAACAACCAACAAGAAGGAACGGGATTGCCTCCGGCACGCCGTTCTTTACATACCCTTTCTTTTCAATTAAATCATCTTAACGTTTCTATTCGTCGTATTTAACGAAAAGCTTCTCTACGTCTCCTTAGCCCACCCACTTCTTGAGAACTGCTTATGTATTTGATCCGTTCAGAAGCAATTCCTTCTCGTTGCCTTGTGTGGCACTGGCTTGGCTCCCAATCTTCGTTTGCCAGCCCATATAAGTGGGTCATCTAAACGTTGATATTCCTAGTAGACCTTCTAGAAACTTTGTTCCCTCCTGTACTGTATTGCCATACACAACTTATTATGCTTTCCTTTATCGACGTATTCTCGATTGAACAATCTCCTTCTTAAATTAAATATTCAATAATAATATAACCTCTGAGATTGCTGAACTGTGGTAAACTTACCATACTCAAAATTTTACGCCCTTAACACTTTTTTACTTGTACTCCTAGATTTATTATATCCATCCTTTATTTGTCTTTCGTTTTAAATTTAATTTAATATTTTAAATATATATATTCAAAAAACCTGTGGACTGCTTTTAGTGCACATTAAATAAATAAATAGACAAATAGACAGGCATTTGAAATATTTTTAAGCAATTTTTCATTAAGATAAGTTTTCTGTTTCACAACTGGACTGAAGTGGAATGAATATTTAATATCTGTATGGTTATATTGCACAGAGAAAGGTATGCTTATCTCGAACTTAAGTCTATATAATACCATATAATATAATGGTCCGACCCGGTCGACCTAAGAGGTGATTGAAACCAAAAGACGGATAGCTGCCAAGGTAGTCCTAAAACTAAGGCAGCACAACATATTCAACAAAATGAGGAAAGACACAAAGACGAACAGACGGACATAATTGTATCGAGTCGGTTGCTCATGCTGATCAAGAATACATAAATATACTATATGTATTTGGAGACGTATATTTCACTGCGGTACAATCTTCATGACCAAATCCTAATACCTGCAACAAGAGTATAACAACTACAGCTAATGCTACTATCAGAAGCACACAAGGGTTCATTAACACCACCATTCTGACGGTTGACAACTGGACAACAACAAGAAATACACACACTTGGGACACTCGGCACTTTTTTCTGCAGTACCAGCAAACAACAGTACCCGGCAACAGTTCCAGCCATCGTTTAGCTCATTTAAAGTAAACTACTTTTGTTTTTCTATACCAAACTTTGATTATTCGAACAATAAGAGGCGCAAGATCAAATCAAATACAATAAGTAAAAAAAAAGTAAGAAAACAAAAACTGGGTCAGCTAGCGGCACGACCGCATCCATAACTGAATTATGAATAGAACCCTTTAAGATGCGCGCTCAGCGAATGCTTAAGCAAACAAATTGATTCTGTGAATACCATTGCCAAAATACACTTTCGAAAAAAACTGTAACCAAAAATTAAATTATTTACATTTTAAAAAAATAATAATAATTTACAGCCTTCAATTCTTGCAGGGTTTTAGCCAATAACTAATTCTGTACAACATTTATTTACTTACAATATCACATTCAAATTACAAATCCCGTGTGTTTCTCAAGCTTAGGGTATTGCAGCAAAAGCTTATTGAGATTGCCAAATAATTAAAACACTTGACTGCACTTCAGAATTCACAAAACACGCGCCGGCACTTGGCTACTTTCTTTAACGGGCAACAGGTAATGTTCTTTTCAATGCCTGCAAGCCAAGGAAATCACTTAGACGAGTACACATAATTGTTGCTTTTGCAAATATTTACGCCATTTTCATTGACATTATTATTGTTTGCTTATTGAGCAAACAAACAGACTGTTGTGTCAAAAGATTGTTATAGAGCCCGAAAAGAGTTCAGAACCATCATTGGGCCGGCGCCTGGCAAGAAGACGAGGTGGCCGAGTGGTTAAGGCGTTGGACTGCTAATCCAATGTGCTCTGCACGCGTGGGTTCGAATCCCATCCTCGTCGGAATTCCTTTTTTAATTCTTGTTAGTTTTATTTTTTTAAAATTTAAATGCTTTTAATTAAAATGTTTTGTAGTTTAGTACAAGCTGCTGGTAACTTTCTATCTGATAAAAATTTGAGCTAAAGTTTAATATGATAACTCAGCAGAGCCCATACACAATTTAACTTGGCTCTTTAAGGCAAGATGGTTATCAGGTTTCAATTGAATCTAAAGTTTTTACG